GTTGTCCCCCCACCCCGCCGGGGTGCCCTGCTCCACGCCTGCCTCGCCAGTGCCAGCCGAAGGGAGCTGCGTGTAGGAATGGCCTCGTTTTGCCAACAGATGAAGAACGTGCCATTTATTGAGGAAAACAGCAATAGAGAAGGCAAAAAAAAAAGAAAAAAGAAAAGAAAAAAAAAAAAAAAAAAAGGAAAAAAAAAAAAAAACCAACAACATCAACATTGGAATTTAAATTAAATTTAAATTACAACTTTGCCAAGGCTCGTGACCAGAATCCCTTAATCCCGTTTCTAATCCTGCTCCCTCGGAGCCAGCAGCCCCACGGACCCCAGACCTGCGGGGATCCGACTCCACGGCCCTGGTGCAGGATCGGACCCGGAGCAGGATCCAACCCGCGGCATCAGCAACTGGGGTTTTAATTCCCTGAGCTCCCAGCCACGGCGGCTGCGAGCAGGCTGATGATTAGCAGTAATAACGCTAATCATGGCAGCGTTTCCCGGCGTGGTGGCTGGTGGAGGAGGCTGCTCACCCAGCCCTGGTGACCAGTGGTGGGCTGAAGGATGCTGAAGAAGCCCCTGCTGGGAACGCGCTGATCCCTGGCAGGGCTGGATCAGATGGATCCTGCTCGAGGGGAGACAGAAACAGGACCCGGGAGGTGTTGGGTGATGTGGCGTGAGTGATGCTGGCGCACCGGGGCGGGCTGGAGACCTTCCTGGAGACCTTCCCCTGCAAGAGCTCGGCTCCTGGAGCAGCCTCCCTGCGGGCTGCTGGCCGCCCTGCCCCACGGGACTGATCCTGCCCCCAAGGCACGGGGCTGGTGCCCGGCTGCCGGGCCGCATCCAGCCCCCGCAGGCACGGCTCTCCGTCGGCACGCGGGCTGGGATCTGGCCAGGACGCCGTCCAGAGCTTTTGTCTTTGTGTACTCCTTGTAAATTAGATTTTGCTCTTTGCTCTGTTGTCCCTGCCAACCCCTTAGGAGCTTGGAAATAGCTTGGTCCCCTTCTTCTCCCCCTCTAATTTCCATTCCTTCACCCAAACGCGGGTTCCTTTTCGTGCCCGGTTTCCTCCCAGGGTGGGTGGTAACGGGTCTGTGGTTGCGCGCGGACAGCTCTGCACCAGCCCGGCCACAGAAACTTGAGTTTTAAAGCTTGTGGTGGCAAAAAAAGAGCCACAGAGTGGTACAGCATCCCAAGCAGACACCGGGCATCGCACGGGGGAGCAGGATCTGGCCCCAGGGCAGGACCCAAGAGCAGCCACCGTGTTCCCAGAGGAGCAGGACCCTCCGCCCCGTCACCCCCGTGCTGACATCAGTGCCGCCGCTACCAGCACCCTGGATCTATCCAGGGCCCCGTGCCTAATTTGGGATGCGGTGGACATTTTTAATCTGCTGCTATAAATATTCATGGGCTGTCAGCTATGAAAAAGGACCCTGCCTCCTGCCGTGCTGCCCTGCCGGAGGGGACCAAAAGGGAGAGGGACCGAGCCCCGGCTGGCCACCACGGGAGCTCCCCATGCTGGCTGCTGCCTTTTCCCAGTTTTCTATACCCCAGTAGGGGATGGCTGCAGGAGACCACACGGCTCTGAGTGGTTTCCTCCTGGCAGTGACGTCCCCAGAAAGCGCGGGGGCGAGCGGCGGCACGCGCGGGGGCCGGCTGTCAGAGCCTCGAGTCCCGCAGAGCCGCAGCTCACGCCTGTCACAGCAGCCTGCTGAGCTGCAAAAACCCAACAAGGGGCTCGTGCTGCCTCCCGTTCCTGCTGTGCAAAGCCCCGGGGATCGCTCGCTGCCAGCTCCCACGTCTCCACCTCGCCAAGGTCCCTGCGGAGCCTCCGCCGGGGTGCGCAGCCTGCCCTGAGGTGTACGGAGAGCCGAGCGAGTCCTCGTGTGTGTGCTTCACCCCAGCACATCGACCCGACCCGGCCTCTAGCACAAACTAAATTAGCTGCCTTTAATCTGGGGATAATCACATGAGCCCGTCCCAGATTTGCGGGTGGTGGGGATGGAGCAGGGTGAGGAAACCAAACCCCACGTCCCGCAGCAGGCTCCATCCCACTGTATTCCCAGAGCCCCCCTCCCCAGCACGGACACTGCCCTCTGCAAACGCCCTCCCCCGGCCTCTGTAAAGCCTCCAAAACGCACATTTCATTTCGATTTAATGCAATAGTTGCCGTGGTCAGTAAATACCACAACCGTATTAGCGCAGGATTAATAGCCGTGCCGTGGCCAAGTGTCTACTGCCTGATCCCGGCTGCGTGCGGGTGGCCGAGCACCGGCTCCCCCTGCCCTGGGGGCTCGGGGGGGGGCTCCTTGAGCCATCCCTTGCTCACTTTCCAGAAAGACCCCTTGTGGCTGAGGGTCCCAGGGTAAAACAGTGACGTTGGTGCAGTGCTCCCAGGCGGGAGCTGCTCCCAGCACCATCCTGACACCGACCTGCAGGCGAGGGCAGAGCCTGCTCGCCCCGTCCCCCTCACGCTGTCCCCAGCTTCCTGGCACCCACTCATGTGGAAAGTCAGCTTAAAAAAACACAAAATAACAACAACTGAGCAAGTGTTTGACAGCTTCGGCTGCAGATTCTGCTTTTCACGAACGTTGGCGTCACTCAAGCTGGATGGCACGAACAGCTGGGTGGGGTGCGAAGGGAGAGCGAGGGGGGCCGGCCCCAGCACCGAGCAGTTCCTTGCACATGTGGGGCTCCAGCCCCACACCTCCCACCCCCAGCCCTTCCTTACATCTACCTGCCCTGAGCTGCCAGGGGCTCCTCTAGCGTTTTGGGGCACAATGAGGCATTTCCATCACTCCAGCACAGCACCAGCGCTTCTCAACCTCTGCACCAGCACCGCTGCAGCCCCCAGCTACCAAAACTTGCCCGTTTATGCCCAAAATTGCAGGGATGCATGGGCTAATCGGCTGCTCGGGCATGAGTTGATGGGGTGCTCAGGTGTTGCCTAATTGGGTGCTCGGGTGTTGCTTAATTGGGTGCTCAGGTGTTGCCTAATTGCCCACCCATGCGTGCAGCAATGGGGCGCTCAGGCATGAAGCCATCGGCGCCTGTGCAGGGAGCAGAAACCTCACTGGTTCCCCTCTCCTCAGAGGGGCTGGAAGCTGGGGAGGTGAACAGCACCCACATACAGCCCTGCAGGAATTTTGGGGTGGGAAGAGTCCCACTTAGTGCTGACGGGGCCCTACAACACCCTCCTTGCTCTCCTTCCCCCAGACGCACCATCACAAGTGGCAAAGAGCTCCCACAGCCATCGGGATCACAGCACTGAAGGAATAAAAGCAGGGAGACCCTGAACCAGCCACTGATGGCACCACACCAGGGAACATTAATTAGGGGGAAAGCCTCATTAAAACAGCGAGGGTGGCCTCAGGGGTGCGGGAGGGGGACGGGGAGCACACATCAGGGCTGCATCCATGGGGACCCCAATGGGGTGCGAGGGGCTTCAGCCCCTGGAGTGTTGGTGGCTGCTGGAGAGAGGGGATGCACTGCTGTGTGCCACAGCCAAGGGAGAGAGACACAGATTATGAGGTTTAAAAAATAAATAAAATGAAAAGGAAGGGAATCCCTGCTCCCCTCCCCGCCATCTCGCTGGTGCCCCTGCACCCTCCTGAGCAGCCTAATGACAAAACCAAGTGTTTGTGGGGAAAAAGTAACACACGGGGGCTGCTCAGTGCAGTTTGTGGTGGCTTTTTTATTTTTTTGGACAGCTCTGCAGCTGGAGAGAAGAGGGAGCAATTGAGGGGTGCTGCCTCCCGCCCCCTGAGCCTCCCCAGTGCGGCCCCATGTCCGTCACCAAACGCAGGGCAGCGCCCCAGGACCAAGTGCCACAACAGCGTTTGTTTGTCACGGAGAACCTCCCTTTTTATTTATTCTTTGACTGGTCAGCCCGATTAATCCTGACAAGCCCTTCGCAGCGCATTTTTGCCCAGTGGCTGCTTACGGAGACGCGGTAACCAGCAGGAGGGTGCGGGATGAAGGCACCCCATGCCCGCACCCCAGGGTTGGGGGCACTCACACGGCTCCACGGTCACCCCGGCCCCGAGCCCTGGGCTCCCTGGCTCTCAGCAATGCCCTCCTGGCCCTGATCTGCTCCGAGGGCTCATGAGGATGGGAAGCATCGCTCTGGGATGTCACATCAACCCCACAGCAAAGGTGCCAAGTTGAAAAACAATCACCCAAAAAAAAAAAAAAAATAATAATCCCCCAAATCCAAAGAAGCAGCGCACAAGCAGCCGTCTGCTGAAGCCAGCGATTTTCGCCTGGGTTTCCAGAAACACTTCAGTTCTTAAACCAACGGGGAGGGGGGGGAGCTCTCCCCTTCCACAAGCACAGAAAGTATTCGCAAGATGAGGTGCAAAATTCCTCTCTGACTTCAAAGGCGTTTCTCCTGGCCGGGTACCCCGAACCCTGGCACGACCCACTGGAAAGCTCCAAAGGCAGCCGCTGCCTTTTGCCATCTCCCAAAATCCCTTCGTAGGAGGGGGGGGCGAGCACCAGCCCCGCAGGGCTCCATCAGCAGGATGTGGATGGGACCCTCAGTCCAGCCTCAGCTTTGCGGGGTAAGCTCAGAGGAAACCTCCCTTTTTGCTAACTCTGCCCCCAAGGCCAGTTGTGGGTTATTTTTTCGGCTGCCTTGGGCTTTCCGCAAGCAGAGGCAGGTGCCAGGACGGCAGAGTTTTTGCATGACTCCCACACTAACAGCGGGATTTGGGTTTCGTTTGCTTTCTTGTCCCTCTACGAGACGAGGAGAGTGCAGGTGCAGTGGAGGTGCCCCCCCCAAGCACCCAGGTGGTTTGGGGTGCTGGGGAACCAGGGCTGAGCCCCCCCCGAACCTATCAGAGGCTGTCCCTGGCCAGCAGCACCTCTGCTCCCCGTGGCAGGGGCTGTTTTGTGCTCCCACCCACAGCAGCTCCTGCTTTGCACCCAGGCTGGCCATGGTCTGTCCCCCCCAGCTGGCCGTGGTGTGTCCCCCCCAGGCCCCAACGCTTTCCAGGAGGGGCTGAGCCATGGCCAGGAGCCCCCCAGCTCATGCCCAGCATGACTTTCAGATGTGTGTCCCCCCCAAACACATTCCCAGGTCCCAGCCCGGTGTCCATCCATCTCCTCCTCACCCTCCTGCTGGCAAACAGGGTGTCGGGGTGGGGGGGGCTCACTGGCAGAGCAGCCCCCGCAGCTCCTGGGGCGAGGTAACGGGCAGGGAGCAGGCTGAAGTTGCTGCAGAGGTAGGCGGTGGCTTTCCCGTCCTTCCTCTCCAGGGACGAAAGGAAAGGCAACTGGCGGTACAGGAACCCGGCACTGTCCCCGTCTGCCAACATCAGCACCTGCAGGAGAAGGAAAGGGAGAGCTGGGGGGGGGCACAGCCGGCTGGGACCCCCTGTGCCACCCAAAGACAGGGGGGACAGGAACCAGCACCCGGCTCCTCCTGCCCCCCAGCTGCCTCCCAAAAACTCAGCCAGCGGCCAGCAGCTGGGCTGGGGGCTCTCCCAGCTGCCGCAGGAGCAGCGGCGGGGCTGCCAGGATAATTGGCTTTTGCCTGAGTAAGAAAACATTTGTGAAAGCCTCAGGCCTTGCGGTCTAACAACAGGAATGGCCGGCAGCTGGCCGGGAGCCTGGCCCCAGCACGGGGACACGAGGGGTGAGCAAACACGGGCCCCACGGGGGCTCTGGAAGCAGCAGGCGGGCACCGAGCGGTGCCTGGCCCAGCACCGAGGCGCTCAGCCCGCCACCGAGGGCTGCAGATCCCCCACATCCCCGTCCTGCCCCCGCTGCCACCCCACTGCCCGGCACGGGCTGCCCCTGCCCCGTGTCCCCAAGGGGGTGGCCGTGTCCCCAGCTCGCCCGTCCCGCCCCACGCACCCCTCATCTCCCCTCAGCCCCTGCCCTGCCCCATTGCCGGCTCAGCCCCTGCTCCCTGCCCTCCTCCCTCCTCGCCTTTGTCTGGAATTAATTCCAGGAGTGATTAATTACCAATTCACGTCCAATCTGAAATTCATTATTCATTTTTCTCACATGCTCCCTAAGGTCCTCTTGCGGGGCCGGGATAAAGGCGAGCCAGGGAGCTCGCACGCCGCGGCTGAGGAGATAATGGGATCCTCCGTAATTACCCTAAAGACCATTAACGGGGCCGAGTTCTCAACCAGGGAGTGGGATCCAACCTGCCTGGCCCCATCCTGCCGCCAGCACCCCGGCCCCACGGGGCAAACGTAGCCACGGAGATGCCAGCAAAGGGGTGGGTGGCATCTGGCCACGCTGATGGCCCTACAAGTGTCACAGGGAGCCAAGTGGGGTCCTCAGCCCTGGCAGCACCGCTGCATCCCCGCAGCAGCCACCTCCAGCCCCGGGCTCCTCCACCCGTGGGTGCAGGTTCAGATGTAGTGGCTCCAGCGCCCTCAAAGCCGTTTTACCATCGGCTTCTCATTACGGCCAGGCTTTCCATGTGAGGTTTGTAAGGAATTAATTACTGGAGCGACCTAATTAATTGTTTGTGTTCCCGCCGCCGAGGCTGGCCCCCGGCGCCCTGCCGGCACCGGGGAGCGGGGGCGGCGGGGACGCGGCGCTGACGTCTCCACATCCCCGGTCCCCAACGCAGCCACGTCCCCAGGGAGGTGACTCAGGGCTGCAGGGAGGAAGGAGAGGATGAGGATGGGAAAACGAGCAAGGAAAAGCCCTTTTTCCAGCCAACCCCAGCAGGCAGCAGCCAGGCTGCTCCTGCTGGTCCCAGCCTTGGCGAGGGTGCTGCTGAGCTCCTGGCTCTGCCCGAGCCCCCAGAGCCGGGCACCCCCACCAGGAGCCCGCTCGGATGGGCAGCAGCGGCTGCAGGAAGGCAGCACCGGGCTCCTGCTGGCAGCGCAGTGCTCTCTGTGCCTGCAAACTGGGTCACTCGCTGTAATCCTTCCAAGGGAGAGGAATAAAGTGGGAGGAGGGCGCGCACGCAGCACCAGGAGCGAGGGAGTGCGGCAGGGGAGCTGGATGGGGTGCTGTGGGCAGAGGGGGCTCTGGTCACTGCACCCTGTCCTCCAACAGCACCACGAAACGCTGCTGGGCGTCCGCAGGACAGCCTCTGTGGGCTGTGCTGACACGAGGAGAGGTGAAGGAAGCGCTGCTGACAGCTCAGCTCAGCACAGCTCTCCCCATTTGGGTTACAAAATCTGGGACTTTGGCCCCATTGCCAGCCTGACGCTGCAGCTCAGCCCCAGGTGCAGATGGAGCTGGCCCAGCAGTGCCACGAGCGCTGCCCCTCGTCCCCTGCCACCTCTCTGCCCCAGGAGAGCCACGCAGGGCTCAGCCGTGCCCCTGTCACCAGCAGGAGAGGACGGGAGGTCCCCAGGACAGGACGAGGATGGGGCTGCTTTCACTACCTTGTTGGGGCTGAAGACAGAGTGCACGCAGCGAAGCATCTCTTTGGTGTCTTCTCCTTGGGGGTCTCCGCAGATCACCACCTGTCCAGAGACACCACAGATGGCAGAGGTTTGGTCCCAGGCAGGCTCTGGTGGCCCCACAGCACAGCTCAGCAGCCCCGGCCCTACCTGTTTGAGGGTGTGGTGGAAGACGGCGGTGGCCCGGGCCATCTCTGGCAGGGCTAACGGGATCTTCTGCAGCCTCTCGGAGAAGGCAGCCAAGATCTGCCCGGCTTTTTCCACCCACTCGGCGTGGCCGGAGTAACAGGCTGCTCGGAGCAGGTTGGTGACGGTGACGGAGTTGGCGTTGGGCTCTGCTCCGTCCTGGTCTGCGGGAGGCACAGCAGCACCGTCAGCCCCACGCCGAGCATCGCCCCTGCCCTCCCCGGGGCACAGGCAGGTCCCCCAGCTCACCGTCCTTCAGGCGGAGGAGCAGAGAGGAGTCGCCAGCCTCGCTGGAGAAGTAGGCAAAGCCCTTGGGGTCCCAGAAGAGCTTGTCCTGCGTGTGCTGGAGCTGCAGGGCCCATTCCAGCCAGCTCTGGTCCAGGGAGGCTTCGTAGAGGTCAAAGAGAGCTTGGATGACGAAGACGTAATCCTCCAGGAACCCCTGAATGGGGACAGCGCTGCAACGGCAGGCGGGGAAGGACATCAGGGCCTCCAACCCTGTGGGTCCAGCAGGGCAGAGCCCTCCCCACCAGCACCTGTGATGTGGGATTTCCCTCCCGAGCTCAGCACACGGCTCAGCCCCGGCTGAGTGCGGGTCCAGCAGCAGCACGGGAAGGCTCCTACCAGCTCGGCAGGCGAGGAACGCAAAGGATTTGACCTTCAACCCTGGGGCTGGGTGACACGCTCCGCACCACTGCTCACCTCTGCTCCACCGCGCTGTCCTCGCCCCGGTAGCAGCTCCGCAGCAGCCTCCCGCTGGCCGGGTCAAAGAGGTGCCTGCGCAGAAAGCCGGCCGCCTGCGCTGCCCGGCTCACGTACTCCTGCCTGGCCAGCGCTGCCCCAGCCTGGGCAAAGCCCGAGATCATCAGTCCTGCGTGGGCACAGGGACAGGCTCAGAGGGACTGCGGCAGCAGGGAGCAGCGGGTGCCACTCGTTTTCCTTTAAATGACACTCAGAGTGAAGCTCATCCCCCCCTGACACGCGAGGCAGGCCCAAGGCAGCTCAGCAGCTCTTCCAACCACGGGGAAAGTCGCTCGCTATCTCCGAAGGGAAAGGAGGAGCACTGCAAGGCCAGCAAGAGCTAAGCCTTAACTTGCGGGTAGGAACTGGGCTTAAGAAAGTCTTGCTGCCTGCAGCACTTGGCTCCACGCTGTAACTCCAGCTCAGGCTCCAGCCCCAGGAGCTGTGACCCTGTGGTTATCACCCGCTGCAGGACGCTCGGACAGACAGACAGCCACCTGTGCTCACCCTGCTGACACAGGGGTGGGCACGGACCCGGGTCCTGAGCCCCCATCCCCATCCCCTGGCAGCCCAGCCGAGCAGGCTGCGCCACGCAAAGAGCTTTGCTGCTCTCTGCTGGCAACAGGGGAAGAAGAACAAAAAAAAAAAAAAACACACAAACCAAACCCAAACCAAACCAACATCCCGAACGTGCAGCAACGTGCATGGGGCTGAGGCCCCCCCAGGACCCTGCTCACCATTCCACGAGGCCAACATCTTGGTGTCCAAGTGGGGCCGTGGCCGCTGTGCCCGGGCTGCCCGCAGCCTGTGCTGGCTGTCCCGCAGCAGGGCGCTGAGCCGGCCCTGCTCCAGCCCAAAGCGGGCAGCCGTCAGCTCCAGGGAGGACCGGATAATGAGGACGTTCTTGCCCTTCAGCTCCTGGTGGGGGTCCTGCAAGGAGAGCCCTGTTCTAGGAACACCTCCTGGCCGAGCAGGGTTGGACCCGCAGTGCCTCAGGTGGCTCTGATGTCCCCTGTGTGCAGCGATGCTCGCGGTACCGGAGCAGGTCTTGTCTCTCCCTCACCTGCATGGGGCTCACGTTGCCGTCCTCCTTCACCCCGTAGTGGTGCATGAAGACATCTCCCAGGGTTGTCCCCTCAGCAGCCCCCTCGACCGGGTCGGGGAGGAGAGCCCGGATTTCCTCGGCCCCCCAGACACAGAAAGCCCCCTCTCGCTTCTCGCTGGATGCAGCAGTGGGGTAGGAATCTGCATCTTCTGCGCTGTAAAAACCTCCGGCCTGGGGAGAAAGCAGCAGAGATGTCCCAGATGCTGGTACAACATCCCCGGTCTGCAGCAATCCATCATGGCCCAGACGGGGTGAGCGACCCCCTCCGCTTGGCCCAACTCGGGGAAGCACCCACCTGGTCGCTCAGGTCCCGCGAGACATAGAGCAGGATGTCCCCGACAACATCAGCGAAGAATTCATCCCCGGAGATCTGCGGGAGAGATGAGGCGGATGGCACTCTGCAACATCACAACGGGCACGGGGAGGAAAGAGACACGGCAAGATGTCACAGCCCTGACGGAAAGAGCTGGCAAAGGGGAGAGGCACATATGAATGTGCAGGGACGTTAAACACGGGGCTATTTGGGGTAAGGTCTCTGACATGGATTACAGGCACTGGATAGCAGCCCTGGATTTACACCATGGTCTGAGCAGCAGGACGTGGTGCTGACTCTTACAGAGAGTTTCCTTTCCTCAGGGGCTAAGCTCATGCAGCATTCCTGTCTGGATGAAGGGCAGTGGATAAAGGGGAGGATGGGAGCACTCAGATAGGCAACGTTTGGGCCCCAGCCTTGACGCTGCTCACACCCCAGCCCAGCCCGAACTCAGGGTGCTGAGCACACCCCACAGAGGGGCACGGTGGCCACACCTGGAAGGCTCTGCTGTAGGCAGCCGCCAGCTGCCCCTGGTCGTACAGCATCTTCTCGAAGTGAGGGACATGCCAGTGCTGGTCGGTGGAGTAGCGGTGGAACCCCTGCAAAGACCAAGCAGATGTGTCCCCACTGCCCTCCTCCTGGGTATTCCTGGGGTTTATCCCCAGAGCTTTCCTCCTACCTGCCCGATGTGGTCATGAATGCCCCCATGAGCCATCATCTTGAGGGTATGCAGAGCCATCTGCAGTGCCCGCGCCCCTTCTGGGGTGGCTCGGTGCAGGGCCCAGTAGGTGAAGAGGAAATTCAGGTTCACTGCAACACAGGGACAGAGCGGGAGGCTGCGGGCCAGGCTCTGTCCCCCGGCACGGCTCAGCTGCAGAGCCCAAACTGACCTGGGGTGGGGAACTTGGGGGACTCGGAGAAGCCGCCGTACTCCTCGTCGTAGGAGTTGGAGAGCTGCTGGAAGCAGGTGGCCAGCACCTCCTCGGATGGCGGGGGTGACTGCTGGCCCTGCACGCGGATCTGGGACATGGCTAGCAGAGCTTCCAGGATCTTCTGGCTGCTCTCCAGCAGGGCGTCTTTGTTCTGCCTCCACTGTGATGCAGGGAGAAAATCGGCACTTCCATTTTTTCCCTTTCTTTCCTGCTTCATGCCCTACCCCTAACTGCACCTTCAGCTCTCAGTGCCCTCCCCAGGCCAGCCCAAACCCACCCCCAGCCTGGCCATGGCTCTGACACCCTCTCTGTGCCACCGCTCCTTCGTGCCTCTTCCCTCCCGCACCCCCAGAGCGATCTCTCCGTTCCCCCTTTGCCTGAGCACTGCCTGCCCCGTACCTGCTCTGTGACGCGAAGCAGCAGAGTCCGAAAGCCAACGCGGCGAGCGCTGTCCTCAGGAGGGAAGTACGTCCCCCCTGCGAAGGGCTTCAGGTCTGGAGTCAGCCAGACGCTCATCGGCCACCCACCTCCACCGCTGGTAGCCTGAAGGAGGAATTGGGATGTGCAAAAACCCCATAACAGGTTCAGCCCACCCCACGCTGGTCCTTCTCGAAGGGAGAAGGGCAGAGCCTGCCCGCTCCTCCCCTACCTGCACGAAGGTCATGTACACTTTGTCCACATCTGGCCGCTCCTCACGATCCACCTTTATGCACACGAAGTTCTCGTTCATAATCGTGCCGATCTCCTTGTTCTGGAAGGACTCCTCCTCCATCACGTGGCACCAGTGGCAGGTGGAGTAGCCCACTGCAAGCAAGCCCACCCGCTCAGGCGAGGCCCCGGGGGGGGTCGCTCAGAGACGAGCCAGGCTGCTGCGTGCCCCCACAAACTTGCCGTGGCAGAAAAGCCTCCTGCAAGCACAGGCCTCACGTGCCTCCTGCTCCAAAGCTGAGGACTGAGGTGGCCAAAAGGCCCCTGGATGCAGCCTCCATACAGCCAGGGCCCTAAAAGCACGGGGCATCTCTTGCTGGAGGAGAATCGGTGCCCAGCACCTCCACCTGCACCACCACCCGCACGCAGCCTGGCTTATCTACTCCTTCAGGGGTGTTAAACGCGCCTTGTTTTGCTCACCTGACAGAAAGATCGGCTTGTTTTCTTTCTTGGCTTTATCAAAGGCCTCCTGACCCCAGGGGTACCTGCGGAGGGGAGGCAAGAAGTGGGGGGCAGAGCCTCTGGGCTCCTCTGAAGCTTCCCGAGAAGCAGCAGCTCGGGCACCCCAAGCACATCGGCCTCGGCAGAGGGAGGACGAGGCGGGGAGGCGAGAGGAGCTCTTACCAGTCCACGGGGTTGTGGGCGTGCTGCAGGAGGTAGGGGGACTTCTCGTTAATCAGGCGGTTGGTGTAACGAGGGGGGCCGGGCGGCCTGGCTCTCCCCGCCGTGGCCATGGCGATGCTGCCCGTCAGAAACAGGGACCTGAGAGAGGAATGGGATGGGCAGGAACACAGCCACGGCCCCGCTCGCTCCCCTCTCACCCCAAAGAGAGCCGTGACACCCCCAAAGAGACCCATGACACCCCCAGGGAGAGCCTGTGACACCCCCAGCCACCTGGGTGCCCCCTTTTTGGGGTGACACAGTCCCCAGCACGCTCCCAACCCTCAGCATTAGGGCAGAAGCCCCTCAAGGGGGTCCCCATCACCCCACACGTTCTGCCTTGGCTCTGCCCCCCCCTCACAGCCCCAGCGCCCACCCAAGGCAGCGTTTTAGGGCCGTGGGTGATGGGGTGAAGCCGGGTGGCACAGGAGGGGTAGGAGGGGAGCCATGAGAGCCTGCTGGGGCTGGGGGCACCAGGGTTTGGGGATGGGGGGCTGCAAGTGGGGTGCAGGATGGGGGAGCAGGGGGATGCGGAGCCATGCAAGGTGCGGGGTTATAGGGACACGGGGAGGATTTAGGGGAACGCAGGAGCGGTGTGGGGTGTGCAGGCAGGATTTGGGGGGATGCAGGGAGTGCAGATAAACGGGGAGGATTTCGGGGAATGCAAACGGTGCGGGGGTGGGGGTTTAGGGGCTGCAGGGGGCACACGCAGCATTGAGGGGAAATGCAGGGGGATGCACAGGGAGCAGCGCCCGCAGCACGGGGCAGGATCGGGGCAGCTCAGCAGGGACGGGGGGCACACGGGGGGGTGCCTGGGGCCGCAGCTGCCGCCCCCACCCCAAAAAAAAAGTCCCGGTAGGGCCACGGCGGTGCCCGAGGGACCCGACCCCAGCCCCGCTGCCCCCCCCCCCGGTACCTGCGGGCCCTGCTCAGCGGCGCCGCGAACATGGCGGCGGGGGCGGGCCCGGCCGGGAGGGAGGGGTCGGGCCCTAAAGCGGGGCCAAACCCACAAACAAGGCCTCTGGGCTGCGTGAGGAGCCCGGGGGGGGCTTCACAACCCCCGTACCCACCCCTAAATCACCCCCCCGAGGTGTAAAGAGGCGGCACGCCACAGCTGGGTGGAGAATTTTATTGTCGTACGGGCGCTTGATGGGGGCCTGGGTACAGCCGCAGAGCCCCCGGGACCGTGCACGCACCGAAGCGAGAACGCCTGCCGCCCCCCCACCCCCTAAATCCCCCTGGACCCCCCCCCCAAAATCCCCTGGATCCCCCCTAACATCCCCCTGACACCCCCCGAGCCCCCCCCGCCTCCGCACCCCAACCCCAAGCAGCGGCTGCAGGGGTCGGGAGCTCCCGGTCCAGGCTCTGCTCAAGGCTCCCGGGGGGGGCTCCAGGGATTTTTTGGGGAGTACAAAGTCCGCTGAGCACACAGGGGGTGTGGGGTCGCCCCCCCCGGCTGGTAAATAACACAGGTGACAGCAGAGCGGGGCCGCTGGGGCCAAGCGGAGCAGCGGCATCCAGGAGAGCGGGGAGAGCGCGAAGCATTCGGGGGGACGAGATTTGGCGGGGGGGGGGCACATTTTGAGGGAAAAAGGAGCAGAAAGGGATAAGCTCCAAATCCTCCCCGTCCCCCGGGACTGTCCCATAGCGCAGCCGGCAGCCCCAGGGGGCTCCATGCAAGCGCTGCGGCAAAAAGGGAGCGAGAGCGTGGGGCCGGCACCGGGACCCCCGCCCGATGCGCAGGGGCCCCAAAAACGAAGCCCTTGCCACGGGTCCTCCGCCGGTGGCTGTACTGGGGGCACCCCATGAGGCCGGGCTCCTCTTGCGGGTTCCATGCTGGCTGCCTGTGACCCCCCCACCCCAGCACGAGGCGTCCTCCGCTGCGGTGAGCGACCCGGCTGCCCTAAGGGTCTGTGCAGGAGGAAACGCCAAGGGGGCCATAACAGCCGGGGAAGGGGCGAGAGCCTACACGTGCTGCTGGTCTGGAGCCTTCAGAGGAAGGGGTTGAGGCCCCCCTGCGAGGCTGGAGGGGCCGGGGGGCCGCTCAGCGGCAGTAAGGGCTGCGGGAGGGTGCTGGGGAGCTCGGGGAAGGGGCCGGCGCCGGCCTGGGGGAAGGCACTGGCGGAGGCGGGGAGGGCGGCGGGGACGCTGCTGAGGGGCAGGGGCAGCGAGGCGCTGTAGGTCATGGCGTTGACGGGGAGGCCGGCGGGCAGGCCGGGCACGGGCGAGCTGGTCCGCATCTGGTTGAGCGTGGGTTTGGGTTGCTCGGCGAGGCTGAAGGGGTTGGTGGGGGATGGCGTGCTGAGACCTGCAAGGAGACAAGGGGATGCGTCAAGGCGAGGTGCGTCGAGGCAGCTGCGTGTCCTCCACACCCTCCTCCTCCTCTTCGTCCTCCTCGGCCTCCACCCCAAGCGCCCTTCTCCCACCCAATGCTTTGGGAACCCCAGGGAACCCCTGGCACCCCGGGACCTACCCGAGAGGAAAGGGTTGCGCGTCTTGGCTGCTTGCGGCGGCGCGACCAAGGAGTCCAGGTTGACCAGGGAGGAGGCAGCGGGGCCGAGGAAGGCCTCGGGGGTTTTACAGTCCTTCCGCTCCTTGCAGGACTCGGCCAGGGAGTCTGCCAGGTTGGTGAGGTCGAAGCTCTTTGCCCCGTCCTGCTTGGTGCTGGGGAACAGGTCGCCGAAGGGGTCCAGCTCTGGGGCAGGGGAGACGAGATGCATGAGCCACCCGTGGGATGCCGACAGCGATGTGATGTCCTGCCCTCATCACCCCCCGGGGCATTTCGGGGCACATCTTGCCAGATTGCAGCCTCTCTGCAGCAGGGCTGAGACTGCGGCACCATGGGAGGCAGCAGGGATCAGGGACGCGGGTGCCCACAGGGACCGGGGCTACCCCCTGGGCTGCGGGGCACCCGAAGGCCACGGCACGGGTGGCTGCACGTGGGGACGAGCTTTGGGCACGCCAGCAAGGAGCCATGCACGGATGCAGGAGCAGCTCCTGGCTGGCCACGGAGCAGCCTCCTGGCTGGAGGCAGGGGTGGAGGAACGTCCCCCACCAGCCCAAATCGGCCCCTGCCCGTGTCCCCAGCGCTTACCCGCGGGGCTGCTGGACTTGGCCGAGGAGGGCGGCTGCGAATGCTCCGGCTCTGGCTGCTCAGCCGCCTCGGGAGGTTTTGCAAACAGGTCGAAAGCGTCCCCCCCTGCAGCTGGGGGGAAGAGGTGAGACTCCAGGAGGGGGGCGAGCAGGAAGGCGAGGGGTGGGAGACGTGCGGGCGTGCAACGGGGGCTGCGGGGATGGGGTCAGCAGCACCCACCAGGCCCACGGAGACTGGGATGGGCACAGCAGGAGCTCGGTCCCGTGCAGGCAGTGCCAGCCAAGGCAGCGGGGACAGGGCCACCGGGATGGAAACAGCACGAGGAGGCCGTTTTAACAACCAGTGCTTTGCACCCACGGCTGGTTCTGCTCTCGCCCCCTCGGGGACCAAAAGTCAGGGCAACTCCCTGTGCGTTTGGGGCAGCGGAAACAGGACTGCCGCGAGGTGGGAGGAAACAACCGAGGAGGAACCGAGAGCAGCACCGAGCTCTGAAACCCACGTTTTTCCTATAAACAGCTGCCCACCTGCAACGTGGCAGGTGCGGACAGCAACCGTCCCGTCTCGGCGGGCACGTAGGGGAGTTTCGGGGGGAGCACAGCCAACAGGTATCGGGGGTGGGGGCACCACCCCACTGCGGGAGCGCTGCGGTGGCTGCCACCCACTCCCATGGGAGGGCTCCGTTAACTGTGCCACGTTAATTAAAGCAGACTATTGCAGGCAGAGAGAGAGCCTAACGGTACCCTGAAACCTTCGGCACACCAAGGAGCAGGCAGGTCCTGCAGGAGGTGCTCGCGGAGCTGGCTGCGGGACAAGGGGCACCCAGGACAGCAGCACCAGCCAGCACCGTGCACGATCCCCAGCAAAACCAAATCCCTGCCCGAGGACTTACCAGGGTTAGGGGGCGGCTCAGCCACAGCAGCCCAAGGGTCGGTCGCTGGCGCAGCACCGGAGCCCTGGGCAGGAGGGGACGTCGTCCCCCAGGGGTCCCCAGGAGAGAAGCCAGAAGGGGCGGGCGCCTTCCCCCATGGGTCAGTGGCAGCGGGGTGGAAATCCCAGGGCCCGGCGGGGGTTTGCTGGGACGAGGCGCTCGCCTGGGGCAGGGGCTCCCCGCTGCCAGCTGGCACTGGCACCCAGGGGTCTGTCGTGCCAGTCCAGGCTGCCTGGCTCCGCTTTGGGTTTCACATCTGAAAGGAGATGAGAGGAACAGGGGTGGGGGGCAGAGGGATGCTGAATGTTAGGGACGCGCCTGGGGACTGTGGCTTCCCACCAGCATCGCCACTCAGGCGTGCAGAGGACAGGGGCAGAGGTGGGGGAGAGAAGCCAAAGGTGCTGAACAGGTGGGAACTGGGCAGGGGTAGAGGCCGGGGAGAGCACCGTGCCGCTGCCCCGAGCTGTGGCAGACGTGGAGCAGCCCCTACCTGGCACGTCCCACGGGTCGACAGACGTGTGGCTGGAGGGGGCTGGCACCGGCCCGAATATATCTGCCAGCTCCAGGATAGAGGACTGCGAACAGAACGGGAATAAAGGCGTAAGGGAAGCACAGCACAGACCTGCCAGCCCAGCCCAGGGCCGCAGCGTCACTCGGGAGCTGCATGTGCGGCCACCCAGGGCCCTGGTGCTTCACCTGGCTTTTCTTCATCTTATCCTCTTCCTCCTCTTCCTCCCCACCCTGGGCAGTCTCCTCCAAGGCTCTCTGCAGCAGGGAGTTCTCCCCTTGCCAAGCCCTCACCTCCTGCAGGGACAAGGGACGGGGCCGTGAGCGGGCCGGGGCCCCCCAGCCGACACCTCCTCCAGGAGACAGACCCGGCGCAGGAGCTGCCACCGCATCCCCAGAAAGTCCCAGCATCCGAGCAGGGGTAGCTCCTGCGGGGCCAAGCCCGCCGGGAGAGCACGCAGCGAACGTCCCCGCAGGAGCGAAAGCGAAGCAGGCGCCGGAGCGGGGCCGGCGGCCGCAGGAGGCAGAGAGAAGCCCAAGTGCAAGAGAGAGGAGCACCCGGGGCTGCGGGGCACAGGTACCTTCTCGTGCTCCTCTTTGCTCAGCGCGAGCGCTAGCTGCAATTGCCTTTCTTCGTCTGTACTGGAAAGTGGAGGAAGTGGCTTCTGCCAACAGAGGAAATGGGGTGAAATTTCAGCTGGGCCTCAGCTTGCCGAGCGGCTCGGTGGTCGCCGTCCTTGCCACCAGCCTCCAGCAGCCCCTCGCCTACCTGCGCAGCGTGCCCAAGGGCTTGCTGCAGCCCCCAGCTCTCCAGCCCCTGAGCAGCCTGGGCTCGGGAGTCCATCCCGTCCCCTCCTCTGGGGCACGGACACTCAGACCCGAGGCAGTTTTTGGAGAGGGGCCGTCCCCACGCCACCATGGCAGCCCCGATCGCCGCCCCACCACGTTCATCCCGGGCTGGGAGCGGGGATGCCTGGTGGGGGTGCGCACGTGCACGGCTGTGCACGCGTGTGCGAGCGTGTCTGCGTGTGCACAGCCCAGGGGGGCTCCGAGAGGCAGCGCTTTCGAGAGCATGTTCCTACAGAGCTCATGGCAGCAGCGAGTGGAAGCTATAAATACTGCATTTCCAGGACTAAAATAGGGATACACACATGCTGCTCAGCCTCCAGAAGAGCCACCAGGCAGGGGAAGGCAGGCAGCAGCAAGCACTGCCTCTGAAACGTGTTCCCTGCCCCGGCAGGACCGAGGACGTGATGCTGGGTGCCAGCCCCCCAAGGACACTGCCCACGTCCTTGGTGTGCCCGGCCGTCCCCGCACGGGCTGTGCCAGCCGGCGGCAGTCTCAGCCGGTGTGCAAATAAAGCCCAAAGAAAAGGGGCAGGAAGGAGAGGGGACAGCCCTGGGGGAGGCTGCACAGCTGGGGCTGGGGCTCGTTTGCTGCCTGCATCCCCGCTCGGCTCTGCCAGCTGGAGAGGAGCAGCCGCAGGCGGAGGCAGCCGTGCCCCATGCAGTGGGATGTATCGCCTCTCGACCAAGGCGAGAGAAACGGGACCAGAACACCTCAGTGGATGAGGGCAGCTAGGTTTGGTGTCTCAGCCTTGGTGCTGTCCCTGCAGGCACGAGGATGGGCAGCACGGACAGCCGGTGCCCTCGCTGCCTGCTGGTGACTGGGATGCAGGCACAGCACGAGCAGCCCAGTGCAGTTATGGGGCTGTGCACAGCCCTCGGGCAGCCCCATACCCGCTGTCCTCCACAGGGGCTGAGCCCCCACAGATAATCCTGGGTGTGGGGCAGACCCCGGCCCCAAGGCCCTACCTTCTCGGCCTCCTCCCGACTCATGGCCAGGGCGAGCTGCAGCTGCAGCTCCTCCTCGCCCGTCGTCTGCGGCCTCGCTTGCTCCAGGTCAGAGGCGAACCGTGGGGATGAGGACGATGCTGGGAGAGAAAAGAAGACGAGGTGAAGGAGCAGCGTTGGGACATCAGGGAGGAGACCAGCCACCTGTCCAACAGCCTCCCCGACCCCATCCACAGCTCCACAGGTGGTTTCCCCAAGGCCCATACCCCCTAATTAACACCTGCAACCACAAACGAGCTGCACACCGCAGCCGAGCATCGCCACCAGCACCCCAAAAAGCGGAGGGGGAGCGCTGGGTGGGCGCAGCAAACCGCACACAGCTCCCACCTCGACCCGCACGCAGCTCCCACCTCCTCCCCGCCAGGAGCACTCACAGTTGAAGGAGGAGGGCGAGCCCCGCGTCCGGCCGTAGTCTTCGCCGTAGGGCGATGCGCGGCGGCCGTAGGCGGCCTGGTGGCTGCCGCTGCCCATGCCCTCGAGGGCCATGCGCTCCTTGGTCTGCAGCGCGTGCGCCCGCTCCTGCTTCAGCCGCTCCTCGTCCTTGAGCAGCGCCATCACCTGCTTCACCTTCTCCCGGATGTTGATGCCCTGGTCCTTGCCGTCGCGGTCGACGTACTGGAAGTCCTTCAGCGTCTGGATGGTGTAGAGGTTCTCCCGGCACTGGTGGGTCACCTTCTCGGAGCCGGTTTTGATGAGGTAGTCCAGCAGGGTGAGGGCTTTGTAGACGTGGCGCCAGTTCTTGCCGCTGTCGTTCAGCCGCCGCCAGATCATGCCCATGACCTCGGCGAAAGCCACCGTGTTGAAGGTGAGGTCGGCGATCTCCGACATCAGGGAGCTGGGGGGCCCCCAGGGGTCGTTGGAGGTGGCCTCCCGCACCTTGATCTCCGCCTCCGAGTAGTTGTGCACGATGTTCTTCACCTGACGCCGCAGGGCCGAGGTCGTCATGGCTGCGCCCTGCCCGGGGCCCGCCGGCGGCGAGCGCTGGTGGCGGGGAAGGGACGGGCGCTCACAGCCTCACCGGAACCTGCAGTGGGGAATGGGGACGCAGAGACCTCAGCACCAGCCCCGTGCCACCAGAGCCCCCTCCCAAAGCCCTCAGCCGGCACCGAGGACGCTTCTCAAGGTGGAAGGGCCCATCGCCACCGCGTCTGACGCTCACCGAAAGCAGGAGGGATGCAGGATGCTCAGGGTGGAAAAAAATATCTTAGAGAAAACCGATACCTAGCACTGCAGAGCTGCCAAGAGATTTGGCTTCGGATTCAGCAACATTTGGATGAGCTTTTACCAGGCGCTTCTGCTGCGACGAGCACCCACCTGCAAATGGCAGCTCCCTCCCCCAGCCCCAGGCTGCCTCCAAGCCCCAGCCCCCTGCAGCGCACGGCCTGGGGGCTCCCCTGCACCCCCCGAGGCTCCCAGCGCCGCCAGGACACGCTGGGCGAAAATAAAGGCCTGGCGTGACTCAGAGCCTGCCCTGACAGCTTTGCTGAGCAAACTTGGTGATTTTGCTTCTGGGATGGAAACACGTGCTGCTGCGGGGTTGCTAAATCAGGGGGCTACCCCGGCGCCAGGCCAGCAGACAGGGCGGGTGACCCAAAACCCGCTGCAAAATCCCCAGATCCTGCCCGAGCCTACCCTGTGCCCATCTCCTGGCACGGCTGGCTGCTGTCGAAACGCACCCACGAGGCTCCCGGCTGACTTTTCCCCGCATCCCCTTCCTGTGGGGTGGCCACAAGGCACCCATGGGCACCCTGACGCTGCTGCTTGTCACCACGGGTCCCTGCTGTGCCACCAACCAGGGCTGGCAGGGCCGGGAGCTGCCCTGGGCCCTTGCTGCTGGGAAATGCCCATCCTTCACCAGCCAAACCACGTGGCTCGTCATTGTCCCATTTTCCTGTGACCCCGTCACAACTCTGTGCCCTGCTCCACGCTAGCCTCACCCACGGGGCGGTCAAACACCACGACCCTCATTGCCTTGGGGGATCAGCAAAACCAAGAGGCAGAGAGGCTGGAAGCAGGCTCCCCATTGCCGGGCTGGGAGCTGAGCTGCTCGCTGAGCTCCCACCCCAAAACTCACCAGCAATGCTTCCCCGCTCCGCGATAAGGCTGCCGGGCACAGGCCTATCTCCCCTGCCCAGCCCCGAGCGCGGCCGCCGATTACCGGTGCCCGTCCCAACACCCGGCTCACGACGCCGGCGCCTCCCTGCACCGCAGCCACCACGCTGTGGCCGGCCTCACCGCGGGCACCGGGCTCTCCAGCCGCCGCAGAACCGCGCCGGGGCCGTGCCGACGTGCCCACGAGCCACGCACGGCACCCGCCGCGCTGCCGTGCAACCCGTGCAACCGGTCCTGCACCTCCTGCTCCGGCGGGACGGCGGCACCGCCGGCGACGTCCCCGTGAGTCAGAGCAGCCTGGCACTGCCACACTCGCAGGCGGCCCGAGTTTCTCTCCCCCGACGCTTCCCTGTATTGATTCCCTTTCGCAACGCCGCTGCTCGGCGCGGCCTTTGGATCCCACCAGGAGAGCCTGGCTTTGGGCGGCCGCGACGCTGCTGGCGCGGAAACGCCTTCGGGACGAGGGCAGCGGCGCGGCAAAGTCCTCCGGGACTTGGCTCCGCGCTCTGCTTTCCACCGCCACCCAGCAGGAAGATAAAGTCACGCTTTCCAAAGGTGCCACCGGCCCAGCAAACACCGGCGTGCCCGTCCATCGGCCTCCGGGGAGGGATGTCCCCTCCTGTCCCCAGCGGGTCCCCCCCTAGCCTGGGAGAGCCCCAACCCAGTGCCAGCAGCTCCAGCACCGCTCGTCCCTGGCCGGAGACCTGGTCCCAGATGGATTTCACCAGGCTTCTGCGAAGTCTGCGTGGATAGAGCTGGGAAAAGGGGTTGGGACAGCGGGTGGAGGAGCACGGCCCTGGCTGGAGCGCTGCCAGCGGCGTTGGAAGCAGCGGGTTTGTACCCAGCCCGGTGTCCCCCCGGAATATAAAGGCAGTGAAACAGAAGCTGTGCGGGAGATAAGGCAGCAGTGCCCGGCAGCTCATATGGAATTACTGCAGTGACCTTGAGCTGGAGGCTGCCAGGTGGGAGAAGGACACCGGGGGCTGGGGACAGGTCCCCATCGCCCGCGTCCCGGCGCAGGGCACTGCGGAGGAGAAGGGGATGGGGAAGGGGGGGGTGGACACAGGGGTGGGGGGCAGGAACGGGGTCAGGGGGGAGCAGGAGGGGCTGGGGGCACCCGGAGGGGGCACGGGCAGAGGGGACAGGGGCTGGGGACACCCGGGGGGGGGTCGCTGGGTCCCCGCTCAGGTGCGGGGCTGGGAGGGCGCAGCGCCCGAAATGGAGGCAGAGCCCCCCGGCGGGCAGCACCGGCGGCTCCAGGGGACCGGCGGGGACCGGCAGGGACCGGGACCTTCCCCCGGTGTGCAGCGGGACCCCGGCACCCCCCTGCCCCCCCGGTACCCCCCGGTACCCCCCAACCCCATCCGGGCCCACGGCGGATCCGCATCCCCCCCCCCTTGCGCTCTGCACCCCCTGCGGATGCTCGGGGCCGTCCAGAACCTTCCTCCCTCTCTCCCTCCCTCCTTCCCTTCCTCCCTCTTACCTCGGCCGAGCGGCGGGGCCCCGCCGTGCACGGAGGGGGCCGGCACCGGCACCGGCACCGGGACCGCGCACCGGGGGCCGGGAGCGCGCAGGAGGCGGCCGCAGCCCTCCCGCTGCCTGCTGCGAGCTGCCGGGCAGGCTGGGCAGGTCCCGGCTGCCCGCCTTAACCCCTTCGGGGCCGAGCGAGCCCCGGCCCGGCCCCCTCCAGCCCTTTAACGTGGGTTCTCCCCCCCCCTCCGTGTCCCCAAAATCCTAACTAGCGCACCCCCCCCCCCCGGGTTTGGGGGATGCGGCGCCGAGCCCCTGCCCCGCCGCATGCGGGAGGCGGGGATGCTCTAAATGCTCAGTCACTGCCCCTCGCTGGCAGGCTGCCAGCTCGTTTTTTTTTATATATCTATTTTTTATTTTTTTTTTCCCCCCCCTTATTTTTAGACAGGAACCGGCCATCGCCAGGCTTGGAAGCGCCTCTGAATGATGCTGACCTCCCCCCCCCCCCAGCAATGCAGCTCCCTCTCTGGTACCCAAGGCCGCCTGCCGCCAGCCGCTGCAATTTGAGTTCGGCAAAATTTTTGCCCGGGATCTAAATTTGGAGCGGCTTCTTCCCCTGCTCCGAACAGCTCCCAGAGCCTGGCTCGGGGAGAGAGGGAGGCATCAGATGACATTACAGAATAAGTCATGTCTCTCGATTGCTTCAGTGCCACCCCCACTCTCCCGGCCTCTGCCTTCCATTTTAATCAGTGACAGGCCTTCAAGTAGTACGGATATATATAATCTTTTTTAATATCACTGCCATTTTCCATAACAGAAAGCATCTCCCGGGTGCCGAGGCACTGGGGAGGGGATCACACCCCCCCCGTTGTTTCCCCCACCACGGAGCGGACCCACCTCACCCCGAGCCCTGCCTCAGGTCGGAGGAGGCATCAGGGCGGCCCTGGGCTTCCAGGGGCTTTGTGGATCTCCTCAGCCCGATTTCCCCGAGAGGCCCAGGCCAGCTGAACACGCACCCAGTCCCGCTCCTGGCTGCGGCCTGTGGGAAGAGCACTGCCATGGGGTCAGGCAGGAGAGCAGCCAGCCAGGGCAACCCCAAAGGAAGGCTCCGACCGCCCCGCTCCTGGGGTTTTCTCTCTGTTTTCCACAGCTCAGCGGGGGCAGAGGGCCCAGGAAGGCAGCTCGATGCTCTTCAGGCACTGCCTTTTCCTCTCCCTGAGGAGAACGTCCTACAAGCAGCAGCAGAGCTGTGCACACATAGGGCTTGTTGGGTGGTCTGCACCCTTGTGAAGGAAGTGGTGAACCAGCGAGGCTCTAAAGCTGATTTTTCCCATCTTTGGGGCAAGCTGGCTGCTCACCCAGGTCCCTCCTACAAGTGAGAACCTTCTGGAAACGTGCTGTCACCTTCCACGCACGTTTTCCTGGAAACCCCTTCCCAGCCTAACAGCGGTGGTGTCTCCAGGCCCTGCATCACGTGTTGGTTCTGGTATGCAGCACGCAAGGCCAGGGAGGTCGCTCACCTCAGTTACGTAGCAAAGAGCAGGAATTATTAACACTAATACAAATAGTGCCCACGTTTGGGGGAGGAGGAGGAGTGCTCTCCTTGCTAGGACGGGCACGATGGGGCCTGGAGCACCCCCGCGTCCTTCAGCACGCAGGGCTGGCCCGCTCACCAGGGCTGGGGCTCCAAGCACAGAGTCCACAGCTCAGCTCACAGCAGGCCCATAAATAAGGGGTACATGTTTCTAAGGGTGTGTTTGGGAAGCTGGTTCTAACTTCACCCCATTTCCAGTCACGTAACTTGCGCCAATCTGCGTAAAAAATAATAACGGAGCTGGCTCAGAGATACAGCAGCCAGGGCGCAGAATGTTGCACTTGTTGGCCCAGCCCAGCCCTTCCCCTGCTCTGTTTGTACATTGTCCCCAAGGAGGTTCTTGTCCAAGGCTGTAAGAGGCACTGGCAAGATTTATGACAAAAAAGTATAGACTATTCCCAGCACGCAGATTTGTTCTCCTTTGCAGAAAATCTTATGCCACCAGCCCCAGGCCTCCAGGCTCCTCCCTTGGAACGGGAAGGAGAGAAACAGCATCTGACATCCTTCCATCCTTTAGTATGTGACTAAAGGGACATTTTCTTTTATCTGTTTTCTTACGAGCAAGATTTTCTGGGAGCAGAGGTATATGTGGAGCCTGGTTTCTATAGGCTGGACCAGATGCATGGGCTTTGCCATCTTTCAATGTGAGACTGCCAACTAGAAGCATTCCTGCCTCTGAGACAATCACGTTGTCTCTGTTACGTGCAGACTCCCTCTTGTCTAGAAGACAGATGGCTTGAGCTGTTTGAGTTGGGCATATTCACAAGCTGATAATGATCTCCAGGGAGGCAGGAGCTATTGTCAGAGCCTGTGAGACACACCCCAACTTCAGGCCTTTTTCCTCTCTGATTCTCAAAATGTTGCTGAAATTCTCACTCCAGTAATGCTGAGCAGAGACATTCCCTTTGTGGTTCTGTGCCCGCTACGCCAGAAGAGGCTCCGTCCTTCCACAGAAGCAAAATGCTCCTTCTCACCCTGCTGAGAGAGAGCACCTCAGAACATGAAAGGTCTCACCTGGCCAGCAGAACAAAATAAGCTACAGATTTGCCAGGAGCTGAGGGAAAGAACAGACACATTCTCCAGAGATAGCAAAGGAGTTAAAACAAGAAACAAAAAGAAAACAACTCTGCACAAGGAAGTTATTTGGTACTGCATGTGGCTCTGAGACGCGTGTCGGTGTGGTTTCCCATGTAAAAGAGCACGTGCCTGAGGCACACATGCCTGGTGTAACCGTGCAGCCATGTACAGAATTTGTAACAGTAATGCTTAGCATGGATATGAATCTGCTGTCTAAGAACCTCAAAGGTATCATGAACCTCAATTAATAATCTACATTGATGTCATTTATTTACAGGGCCAAAGCCTTTCTGGGGAATGCTGTCCAGCTGCTTGAGCAGGAAGGCTGCACTTCACCCACGTACGGTGCCAGGTCAAGGGAGACCCTGCTTGCCCTGCCTTGGAAGTCTGCTTCGACCCAACCCCATCAGCAGAGCAAACAACATTAAGAATGGGTATGTTTCCACAAAAAAAAAACACTCCATTCCAGCTGTGAAGCACAAGGAAACCCAGACAGAAAGGGGTGATAAGCAGAGATGCACACGCAGGCTGATAGAGACAGGAAGGGTGGCTCTAACACAAGGCCCAACCCTGCTCTCCATATTTATAGCATGAATTTCACTCATTTTAATTCAGGAGCGATTAGTCTTGGAAGTAAGCAAGTAAGAGTTGACTCAGAATGGGGCATGGGTACATTAGGCTGCATAAAGAGAGACTGCATGATCAGCACATAAATAGTTACGTGTGTAAGAAAAGGCAAGGTGGCACATCCCTCAGAATACTGCATTTTCACTGAGATCCTGAATGCCCCAGAGAAGCCGCTGTCAACAAGTCCTGAGAGGAGACAGGACAAGCAGTCAAGAATATGATCAAAACCAAGATGGATTTTTCTAAGCTACTGTCCAAATCCTTGGGCTCATGAGTACAAGGGACACCCTACTTGTTTTTCAATCTTGCTTGGCTAGCAAGCAAAGACTGACATCTCTCACCCTGACTGGCTCTTTTAAGTTTTTCTTCCTTAGTAGAGATACCAGTGTTTCCTAGTCTTAATGGTTCTGGAGCCTGTGATATCTCTTGCCTTGTCTCTCATTGGCAATTGACCACCTGCAGAAGTAACAATCCCGTCATTACTTCAGAAAGAAGAATCTCCACTGGATCTGTGTAAAAATGGTTATTTATTTAACTCTATGCCTAGTTACAAAGTGCTTCGCTCTCCCACTTTATAGCGCCCTTTTTCTCTAGCTCTTCAAATAAAGAAACCATTTTGCTCACCATTGAATCCAGCAGCCCATAGACCTGCAGCAGAAATTAACAGAAGATGGTTGCAGTAAAAATGGATGATGAAATCTTGATGACACGACTGACAACACAGAGATAGTTTCTCATGCAGGAGCATATAAACGTACAGACATGCACACAACCACATAAAAGTGGCTGCCTGCTAGCAGATCTTAGCTCTAGTAATAACTTTTCTGGCTATGAAGTGTGTTTAACATTATCCGAGATACAATTAATTCTGCTGATCCCTCAAGAGTCCGCAAGCATGCTAAAGGCATCCCAGATAGAAATCCCGCATGTGGCTATGCAATGCCTGGATTTATGTTAACAGGCTCCAGGCTGGAATAAAGGACATCCTACCTTGTATTTCACACTTACCGTGCCACAGAATTACGGACATACATTTGTCAGTTTTCTGAGTTTAACAAAATGCTTACTGCTCCACCTAAGCTTCAGCACAAGCAAAACAAAGGTAAAAGCTTTGGCCAGACTCACTTCAATGTAAAGCTTTTCCTGGTACGTCCCATACAAAATAGGGTCCACCTGGTCCTGAGGAGGTTCAATGGGGTCTGTAACTACAGCTTCCACACGTTGTGCTACCTCTTTCACCTTCTGTGATGAAGTGGAAGATTTCAGCTTTTTCTCATCTTTTACTTTTGACTTTCTGCTGTTTGGAAATTCCTATTCAGTGACAGAGGAGGAAAAAAAGGGTGACAGATCAGAACACCTTTCAGATTGCAGCAAGATGCACCCAGCAATCAGCGCCTCTTTTGGTGGATTGGAAATCAGCTCAAACTCAGGATATGCAGCCTCAGAATGCACCGCACTGTCACCAGAACCCAGTGATCAAGTTTTCAGCAGGGATCCCAGCACTTACCTCCTTCTCTTTCCCTGCAGTCTTAGTTGTTCTTTTTTTGTCTTCTCTATCCTTACCACAAATTGACCTTCTCTCTTCTTTTCTACTGGTTATTTTGTCTTCTTTTCCTCCTTTTATAGGTTGTTTTACTTCCACTACAAAAGAAAGAATTCCAATTAACCCAAAGCAACATTTTCACGTCCAGACAGACAAGCCTGCTGCACTTACGCACTGTAAGCATATTATTTTTGCCACGTATTTTGCTCTTTTTAATTCATCTGAGCTGTACTGCACTGAAAAACAATGACCTTGAAGAGTACTTTGTTTAAATGAACAGGTCTCAAACATACATCAGAACAAGCTTATATAAGAGATAAAAATGTGATAGATTTTTTCAGTTAGTCAGTATGAAAAGCAGGGCCAAAATCCAGCTAAATTAAAACGCTTATTCGTTTTTCTCCATGCATGTCCGTGTTTTTAATACCAAACCTCAGATCACAACTATTATCTCACACACTGCTGTTTTTTCTGATGCGTTTTCTTATAAAAGCTTTGAGGGGAAACAGCTGACGTTGCTGTTTCAGCTGCAACTCAGCAAGTTTTCTGGATTGCCACCAGTCCATGGAATCTGCCTGCTGTGCTAAAAGCACCATTTACCTGTTTCCTCTGGAAGAACATCTACACAGGTGTCCTTCTCAGGCAAGCCAAGCAGGGATCTCAGCTTCAGAGAGTGACTCACCAGACCATCAATTGTTTCACGCCACAGCTGGAGACTGAGAAAAGTATCAGAAACAGAAGGGAGACAGCACAGCAACTGGGCATTTTGGGGTGGAAAGGTAGGAGCAAGGCCATCTTCTTTTATGGCAGAGCAGCTAAGAGCTGCTCTGTCCAACTAAACCAATACAATCGCACCTAACATCTAAAAATCTGGGCAGAGAGAAGCTACTTTACTTTCCTTGGGTTTGCACGTCAACAGGCTCACATGGCCCCATAAATATTACTGGGTAACTAGGTCTCCTGCTCTTCAACATGACACACTGGTAAATCAGCACTGATCTGCTGCGTGTACTGAGAGGAACCCGCACTCCTGTGATTTAGAAGCAGCTAGCAGCTGTTGGTATGTTTACAGTCTGAAAGCTTGAGCAAAGAAAAAAGAAACTGCATGAGGGAGGATACAGTTATCTGAGTAAAAGGGTACAGAAAATTACCCAAAGATTTCATAAACATATCCCAGAATAATCTTGCCAGAAATAACCTTGTGTACTCCCCAAAATTACATGAATATTCTAAACTTATCTCCAGAAAGAAATGGCATTTGGGTCCTAGACAGCTGCTACAATTACTCTATTAAAAAAAGCATTAAAAAAAAGACTTCTAGACCTCACATAATTACATGCGATCTGCATCACAACACTTGCAACTGAACTTGTTAAGGCTGTTGATCGTACAAGGCATTTATGAGCTTTGTCTTGCAAAGGTAACACACCAGGTTTGATACAAAAGGTCTGACTGGGTTGGCCTCTCTTCAACACACAGCTCCAGTGCTGCCTTATTGAGCTGGGTCAGTGCTTCTTCTCGCTGCTCCTCCTCCGGGATCAAGTTTATAGCCTGATGTGAGAGAAACAAAACACTTCTCAGTTCTCTTTCCCAATCGTCTGGTCCCTGACCTCAACGGAACACACCACAGATCTCTTCCTGGACACCAGTCTGAAAGGAGGTTGCACTGGGCACTTGCACACCCAGACATGGCTGGAGATTTGGGCAAGGAGCACAGGTTACCCAAGATCTGAGAAGCAATCCCAGATCTCCCAAGTTAGATTCACCCACTGTAAGCCCCTCTGCAACTCTACAGGTAGAACAAGTCTAGCACGTTAGAAGGCCTTCTAACAACACAGAACTCCTCTAAGAGCAGAGAAGCAGCAGAGGTTTCCAAGAGAACACTACAGAAAAACTGCTGACAGAATCCAAACCACTCTTGCTTTAATCTAGGGAGGTCTGCATTTTATCCACAGCCTGCCGTGAGTGCCCGCTTAGAGCTCTGATGAATAGGGAGGACTCTCCAAGGAGAAGAGCCCTTGGGGAAGCCACAGGAGGCTTTGGGATTAAGCCTGCCCCCCGCATTCAGTTCTGGGATGACAGAAAGCTAATGGGGGAAGAGCTTAAAATATTTATTACATTGTCTGGTTCTCTTTTCTTTGTCACACAACAGCCCTCAGAGCCTCTCTTGGGAATTTCTTTACAAGAGCACTGAGGGTGTGGTCAGCAGAGCTGATGTGCTTTTCTTTAACACACGTCATAAATCATCTCGAGCTCAGAGAACATTGGAAGCAGACCTTTGGGTGGGCTCATGCTGGGGTACGCCAGGCTATTTGTAAGGAAAATGAAAAGCCCATCGGTTTGTCACAGCGCCAGAGGGAACAAGGGCGACCACCTGCTTAAAGTCCTCGAAGGAAAAGTTCCACGCTGAGGGGCCTGGCTCTTCCTCTTCCACCTGTACTTGACTCAGAGTCACATCGAGTGAGTTCCTCCAATCTGGGATCTCTGTCGCGCTCCACTGAGTGGAGAGAGCCTCCGAGACACTCTCCTGGAGCTGCACGTCCTCCACGCTGCTCGTCGAGGGCACCTTCTCCTCAGAGGCTGAAGGGACAGTCATGTGCTGTCTCCACAATTCCTGCAGCTGCTTAACCACTCGATTCTGATAATGCAACTTTGATAACAGGGGAAAGGTAAATAGCAAAATGCGTTGTGCCTTTCCTCTACAACACTCATTGTTCAAGCCACTATGGCAAGCTATGTCAGCCCCCAGAAAGCCACGGATGCACTAGCCCCACAGGTTTTCTTTCCCTGCTGTTTCACCCGTGTAGCCCATTAAATAGCAAGCCTCACCTTGGGATTCTTCCTGTGGAACAACTCCTCCTCTGTGACATAGGCATCCACAGGAGATGGGGTGCGCTCTGGGGTCCGAATTCGGACAAGAAGTTCCTTCAGAGCCTCTTCGGCTATGGCAGCACCCTCTTGAGCAGCCAGGTCAGACTGAGGCAGCACAACAAGCACAACATGAGTCCCCACTCCGTGTACAAGTGCACAAGCAAATTCACACCCACACTGGTAACTACATGTATATTTTATACAGTATTACAAGGAAAAGAATAACTGCAAACCCCACCACACCAAGCAATACTTACAGAAGCTTTTCAAATAAGCCCCACAAAAAAATCCCCAACTAAATACACTTTTCTATGCATAGTGTAATTTTCAATTTATACTTTACTTGATATCATACCATATTACACACAATCCTATCCCCGCTAATTAATGAATTTAATTACAAACAGAAAAATCTTCTTTAAAAGGACCAATGTGAACAGTTCAGGTGGCATAATCACATCTTCATTAATAACATTACAATAGACCGCAGAGTTCTTAGATTTTATTTTGCAAACCTGCTTAAATACGTAAGACCTTCTGTAAATAAATAATCATCTCACTCTCAGCCTTAATTGTAGAGCAATGAAAATACCATGTCTTCCACTCCCTCCCTTGTCCTCTATTTGCATATTAAGTTCAAAGCTCACATTTACACAGTTACATGCTTGGTTACCTCCAGTTTCTCTCTGAGGTCAGCCAATTTATCCTCATACACAGCAATTCCCCAAAGGGTCACCTGCAGCAGAGCTCCTGCTAATAACAGGGGATGTGTCCTAAATTCCCAGGACTCGCTGAAAATGCCAGCTCTCTCTGACTTGAAAAGAAAGACAAACTTTCTAGTTTCTCCAGGCAAAATTACACCTGAAATTAGAGAGAAAAATGTGCTGCTCTGTAAGAATCCACCTGATTAACACAGCTCTTTTCCAATGCCCACTGAGTGTCCTCATCTCTTCATAAGACTCTCCCCATAGCTTAGCTGGCTATCACACCTCATCCAACAATTTTTCTCTCTCCAGATTTACACCAGTCACCATGTTACTGAACTGGTATTACTTCCATTGCATGCTCCTTTTACAGCAAAGCTCAGTACCCTCTCTTGTAGATCATACCCAGTCTGCCATCAGAAAGTGATTCACTTCTCAGCTTTCCACCCATTTACATTCAGAGCAGGAGCAACCTCCTTTCCTTCAAGTCCCATGAAAAGGATCTGCCTCACACACCTATTTTGGTGTGAGTCAGCTCTGACAGCCAGGGTGGCTTCCTAAGAAGATTCACCCAGGAGGCTTGCTCTGCCATTAGTCAGACTCAGCAGCTCAGATAACACCTGAATACGTACTCTCTGCTCCGTGCACAAAGGTCTCAGAGCTCAGCAGTTCTCATACCTGGTCTGGCATCAAAGTAAAAACACTGCATCCGCTTGGTTTCTCTGGAGGGAATCTGCTGGAGAAGCCTCCTCCAGTTATACCAGACGGCAGCTGTGCCATCGTTGCTCACCGTCAGGAAGCTTTCGGCTTTTTCACCAGCCACGGTCTCAAAAGTGAGACGGGCAGCAATGCCAACTATATGCTGTGAGGAAGAGAGAAGGACAAAGATAACAATTTCTGCTCTGTCTTGCCTGAAGTCACACCACAAATAAGGGGTTGAACATCGGTCGGAGAACTTGTAAGGCAGGTCCAATGAAGTGGCCATTATACAGAGTGCACCTGGGAGTCTGAGCATCACGCCACAGACAGAGCCATCACTTCTGCTTCCAGACCTCTCTGGAGCAAACGCAGGGACACTCTGTTATGCTCAGAATAAATCCCCCATTCTCCAGCCTGGGAGTGACACTCATTGTACAGCCGTGACTCGGGAACTCAAGCAAGCTTAGCTCAACGAAACAATAAGAAGTGCACAATTACCCTGCAAGAAGTGATGCAGTTGATCCAACGTGCAGGCTGGCCACAGAAATCTAAAGACGGACCCCATACTGCTTCTGGAACCAGATCATAATAATCCCCTAAGGAGTCACTGCAGAAGAAAACAACAACAAATGTTTCTGTGGAGTGAAATTCACTTTCTGACGTGGGAGAACAAATGGTGGCTTACAAGACCCTGTAAGAAATAAACCCCTACCTAACCCCTACCTAATGCTTTTCCACAGAGCTCTCTCTCATCCCTGCAGATGTGGCAAACAAACTCCAACTAAAGACTTGCCACCACCAAAGAGGACAGGACAGCCAGAACCATAAGGAGAAGAATGGTATCTGCTTAAGGAAGGCTTGAGGGTACGACTGAATAAGGAGAAAAGGGGTCCCTCGTTACAGACGAAGAGGGCAGGGGAAAAGAGACAGACCGGTGATGGAAGTGGAAGGCTGCAGAGGGACAACCAAATGGAGATCATTTAGAGCACAGTCTCCACCCCGACCGATGTAAGCTGAGGAGCCACACAGAGGCAAGACTGGAGGAAAGGCCTGAGAAAACTTCCCTGACTCTTGCTCCTTAGTCATTAGGCCACACAACTCCTAAATCTGTCGATTTTAACATTGGCACATGCCTCTCACTGTGCCCCTGTGCTCTGGGTAAGAGCAGCTACAGAGATCCCTACAGATGGATGGTGCACACCCCAAATTGTTTATTACTGTCATGAAGTAAAACTTACAGGGTCTCAGAATCTTCAGAACTGGTGGAACATGGAAAAGACTGCATTGAGACAGACGTGAAGGGCTGCCCTTTACCGATCACCTCCAGTCCGTCCAGATCCTGGATATACAGAGAAATGACCAGCCCTCAATTTCTCTTTCATATAGAAAAGTCAAATACCGGGCAAATGTACCAACTGAATCAGGTAAAGTGAAGCTCAGATACCTCACTCTTAATAGTTTCTAGATGTACCCAACAGATGTGTAAGTTAGACAGGAATTAACTGCTTCTGAGTCTCCTGAGAACTGTATTCCTCACCACAAATGCTTCATGGATGGGAAAAGTCTCCTTCTCACATTATTCTCATCCCAAGAGCCATGCTTCGGGAAGAAAAAGGTGAGGTCTATTCAGTTTTTAAAAGGAGAGGCTAACTGCCTTCAGATTTTGTATGCAACCACATGGGGAAAGGTGTCTTCCTTCCGCCCTGAGGCACAAAATCAAAGTCCTGCACCAGTATTTGGGGTTTCTTTTTGTTGTCCAGGTCTTCGCAGCTGCATGCTGCTGGTTCAGGGTCCTATTCTGAGGCTCCCAGCCCAGTCCATGCATCACTTAGACAGGCCAGACATCTTTCATGGCTGTGGCCCTTTGGAAACGTGGAAACTGCTAAGATCAGTACTGCGGGGCTAAGGTTTAGATTCCTAATGCTTTTTCAGATCCAGTCCTTGGCAATTTTATGTTATTGTACAGCATTTCATTAGAGGTGAGAGACGCAAAGAATTTTCATGCTCCTCTAGTCTTACCGGCTTATAAAAGTCTAGCTCCTCTAGGACAGATTTTAGCTCCTGCCGTCGGCGCTTCAGGAAAAGACTCTTATCCCAGGTTAGACGGAAAGGGATCCTCTTTGGAGGCTTCAGACCTGTGGAAATACCCAAGAGCTCACTATCTACATACCCACATGCCTATGTATTTCACTCATGTCTAGTAGTGTGAGTTTCATTCCAGCAGTGTCCTGGGCGCGTCACAGAAATTACAGCACCACAGCCTTTCATGCAGCAAGCCTACCTCTGGATTACTGCTGGCCTGAGTGACGGTGACGAGCAAGTAGCTCGTGCTACAGCTGCCAAAAGGGACGACAATAATGGGAGCCTCCGCACTAGGAATGCTACAGCCTCTCTGCAAGGCTCCCTTACCCGTTTCCATTTGCACAGTGTGGGGTTTCCCCACGTGAGTGACTGGCGCTGGGTAGCCCCGCTCCCTCTGAGTCAGGGTCAGCATCAGGCCGGTGAGTTCATCTCCGATGCGCTCGGGCTGCCTCCAGAACTCGCTTCCTGTTCGGTAGCCCTAGGGCAGAAAATGAGGCTCCCACCAAGAATTTCAGAGATGCTGAGAAGAGAGCTTCCTGCTATTTTCACAGGGACTCGAAGCTAAAAGGAAGGTGGTGTCCAACACTGCTTGTGAGGATATTTTAGAAGTCTATAAATTATTCCTTTTCTGCAGGGTAAGCCAGAATTTTTAGCAGGCTGCTGTCAAAGACAAAAGAAGACTTTCTTCTATCTAGTGCTACACACAGGTTGAATGATACTAAAATAATACAGCACATAAATTAGAATCTTGGAAAGAATTATAAATGTTAAAAAAAGTTACCATAGGGTACTCCCATGATCCTCCTGACATACCCATACCCCTTTCTCTCTGTAAATTTCTAAAATTCAAACTATCTGATCTTTCTGGCCCTGAAACAACTATGGCACATCCTCAGTACAATGTCCAGGGCATGTCACTCCTGTAAGGATGACGAAATGGCACAGCCCATGTACAGCAGCTTGTTAGCAAGGAGCCAAGGCACACCACCACTTCTGTCTGGCTGGTACAGATGGCACAGTTTGTGTTTTCATTCTTAAAATCACCGAAAGCTCTGCCTGCATACGACGCTGAAGGACTCAGAGTGAATGACTTTGATAAGTATCTAAAGGCAGAGCTGCACAGATGTTACTCACAGCACCTGTGCCTGAGCTCTTTCACAAGAGCAGAGCCATCAGGATGCAGAACAAGTGGGGCTCTCACCTTTCCAGGAAACAGGGCAGGGAGACTGCGGTCAATGAGGTCACGTTCTTCCTGGATTTGTCTGTAATCCTCTGAGATGCTCATCAACAACTCATTTTCCGGCTTCTGAAGAATTTCTGTAAAGAAGGAATATCAAATGTGCTGTGCTTCTTCTGCGCTTCTTCTGTGGCTAGGTGTAACCCCCATATACTGTCTCCTATCAGGTCCCCTGTCCTTCCCCCAGCCACAACCACCAGCTCATCCCCCCACAGCACCCAGGGCCCTCTCCAGACCCCGGCACTAGCAGTGTGGGGAGCCTGGAGAACCTGGAGGCAGGCTGTAATGGCAGCAGGACCAGCCCAGGTTGGCTCTGCCCACTGAAGTGTGTGGTGGTGCCACCAAACAGCCCCACGTCCATGCAGAATTTATAGCTCAGCTCCTCTCACCTCCTAGATACCTCTCCTGCTTTCTCCTGATGGCCATATTACGGTGCCAGTTCTGGAGAGCTCTGTGCTCTGATGGTGGGGCCTGACGAACCTTTTTCTTTCTCTCTCCTCCATGTTCTTCTTTTAAAACTGCTGCAGTAACATCTTTACGAGGAGCTTCAATAAGATCTGCTAGCTGAAGAGAAATGAAACATGAAATTGACTCTTAATGCACACAATGCTAATGCAACAAAAAACGGGACAGCAGAGGAGAAAAGAATTCTTCAGACTGGCAGCACCTTCACCTCATCACTCTGTGAGGAATTAAAACATGGCATTAGGAACACATTCAAAAACAGCGGAGGGATTTAGCTGAGTAACTGGACTCAAGCTCTGGCATTGCTGCATCACCAGCTGTTCCCATGCTGATGCCGTCAGCAGGAGCAGAAATGGAAGAGGAAGCCTCTGTAATTCTTCCCTCTGTGACCTCCGCCTGCACACACGACTTCAAAACCTGCTGGAGCAGTTTCTCTGAAGGCAAGCCCCACAGAGTAGGACAAGGCAGGGAAAACCACACCTCAAGCCTGACCTGTTCTTGATAGGTGCTGAAATAAATCATAAAGTACTTTACACATCACATTCCACCTCTAGAAAAGCGCCGCACAGCAACATTTTCGCAATTTTAAAATCCAACCTGAGTGTTTCCTCTGGCCAAGGCTTCCATCTTGAACTCCTGCAGACTTCCCAAAATGTGGTGAGGGAGAATCTTTTCACAGCCATCACCAAACTGTCCTGGTCCTGCAACAGAAACAAACAAGCAAACAACCCCCGAGACAGGTGACTAAAGCTAGGCTTGACAAAACCAAAAATCAAAGGCAAAATGTGGAATTTAACCATACCAGAAAAACTCAGCTGTTCCTCGGGTACCCTTGGGAAGACAGGATATGCCACCAGGAGATGGGCCTTCTTTTTTGTCTCTTTGGGTTGATATTTTCGAATGAGGAATTTCCTCCTAACTGGAATTCTCCCATCGTCACGGGGAAGGTGTGGAGCATGGAGCTTCAAAAATAACCATCACGATGCAATTAGTGACATACTCACTCACCTTCATTCCTTCTGACCCTTCCAGGACACACAGACAAGTCCTATCGGTGCACGCTGCTCCTCCTCAGAGAGGCACGTTACCTGACTGCGGAAATACCAGTTTAGTTTCTACCTCACTCTTCTTGACTCCGCATTATAACTGGGACAGGGAAAAGAGTTTTAAATTGCTTTCCCGGTAATTTTCTGCTGTGTCACTCGGTGTCAAATGCTTCCACTCACATAGCTTGACCCGAGTTTTGGAAAGCAAGCGGTGGTAGTTACTAAACAAAATACTCTTCTCATTAGATCAGGAAGTTGGAAATGTAGTTCCAAAAGGGCAGGTGAAAAGATCGCGTCAGGATCAATAACCCTTTACTTTTAGGGACTGAGCCTGATGATCTGACAAGTCATAAAAAGCAGCACAGGCAAGAGGGAATGAGAACTGAACTCTAGCAGTCGGTTTTGGTTTAAACGAATGTATAGAACCCTCTGTTAAACACATACACACACACAGAGGAAGTTTCAGTGAAAGTAGCTTTTTCTATGAGCAAAAATACATACTTTTTCCAGGTCCTCTAGCTTAATTGCAAGTGCTTGGATGTCATCTCCTCGCAGAACGTATGGAACAGGCTCTGGCTCCTCTGGAATCGTTGAGACAGATTGTTCACATGCCTTTTCCTTCTTGTCTGAAACACAGAAGGGAAGATCTCTCCTTCAGTCTCCCGAAGAAACTTCATCTTCCTCTCAGCCTGCCTCAAACCGTTTTTCCAGCTGAACTGTTCTTTTAAGGTTACGCGGGACAATTAAATTCAGCATCTCTCACGCCTGGAAGATCAAAGTTTAGGAAGCTACAAGGGCCAAAGTGGGTCACTGGGATTCAGCTGGGTCACGCACTTTGTTCCTGATGACAGCAAATTGATGAGATAAATACTCCGTGCTATCTGCACCGGGAAGAAATCTCAGACAAGTTTCCTTCCCCAGTTCCGAGCACAAGCACACGACTCCAACGCATCGGCCACGAAGCAAAACTTCACCTCAGAAAGCCGCCACCCCTCCAGAGCACCCAAACTGCAAAACCCCCTCCAGACCCGGGCACGGAAACTGCTCAGAGAGACCCCAGGGCAGGAATCAGCCGCAGGCAACGTTGGGTTGGTTTTGTATCTCGTTTTATTTTTGACCTGTAAGTCCTTCCAGCACCTCCTTTACCCGCAGATACACGCAGAGGAGCCTCCCTGATTAAAGAAGGCGAAGGGAAGGGGACAAAAAGGGGAAGGCGCCACCTGAGGCCTGCTCCCCCCCCCGTGCACTCGGGACGCGCAGGACCCGCAGCACCCCCACACCCCCATCCCCCCGGCTCCAGCCCCCTGCGCCCCCCAGGGCCGTGCCCGTACCCGTGGGGGTCCCGGCCCGCGGCTCCTTTCGGCCCTGCCCCGCGGCCGATCCCCGCCTCCGCGCCCCGCGGCCCTGCGCCTGCATCCCCCGGGGCCGCGCCGCGTCCCCACGGCAACGGCAGCACCGAGAGGAGCCCCCGCGGCGCCCCCTGGCGGCCACCGGGCTCGGACCTCCAAGGGGGGGGGGCCCGGCCTCGTCGCCCCGCTGCCTCAGGGCTCGGAGCCGCGGGGGGCTCCGCGTTTTGTCCCCCCCTCAGCCTCCGGGCGTTTTTCTCCGTCAGCCTCCGGGCTTTGTGTCCCCGCAGCCTCCACGTTTTGTCCCCCAGCAGCTGCTGGGCGTTGTTCTCCTCATGGTTTTGTCCCCTGCCAGCCTCCGTGCCTCGTCCCCCCGCAGCCTCCATGTCCCCTCCGTGCCTTGTCCTCCCTCAGCCTCCTGCCCTCGTCCCCCGCAGCCTGAGGCTTTGTCCCTCAGTGGGCTCCAGGCTTTGTCCCCAAGCCTCTGCGCTTTGTCCTCCACGAGCCTAAGGGCCTTGCTCTCTGCCAGCCTCCGTGCCATGTCCTCCATGAGGCGCCGTGCCTTGTTCCCCCACAGCCTCCGTGCCTTGTCCTCCATGAGCCTCAGGACCTTGTCCTCCAGCAGCCTCCTGCCCTTGTCCTCCACGACCTTCTGTGCCTCGTCCCCCAGTGCCGGCCGTGCGCTGCAGCTGGCAGAGCAGTGCTGGCAGCAGCGAGTCCAGCACCGCCAGCCCCTGGGGCGTGCAGCGCAGACCCCTGGGGGACAGCAGTGGCTGAGCCCCAGCCCCACACAGGGACCCCCCCATCCCAGTGCCCCCAGTACTCACCGGCCGTCCAGGAGCAGCCAGCCCTGCTGCTGCAGTGCCATCGCCTCCCCCGGCCCCCCGAACACAGCCCGCAGGGGCAGCTGAGGGGAGAAGTGCCCCCAGCGCTGCAGGGGGTTGTTAGTGGCGGCTCATTAGCAGGGATCCCCCCCACACACCCTCTGTTGATGCCTCACCTGCTGCGTGATGCCCTCGTCCGTGCGCAGCCCCAGGGCGAGCAGCTCCTCCAGCCTGCGGGCACAGCGGGGTGTTAGGGCCGGTAGGGCTGGGGTGGGGGGCACACACGGGGGACGCCCCCATACTCACTGCTCCAAGGGGCTCAGCGCCACCCGCCTCCGGGTGCCGTGCCCGCGGCTCTGCACCTCCCTCATCCAGGCGTCAGGATCTGGGGTCTGGACGCGGGCCTCCCGCTGGTGGCTGCCCTCACCCCATGGCACGAACCTCCCGTGCGCCCCTGCAAGGGCACGTGGAGGAGAAGGGAGTGCAAGGGGTGCACAGCCCTGTGCCCCCCCCTCCTGCCCTGCTGCCACCCTTCCCCGGGGGCTTACCCGGCCCCACGCCGACGTACTGCTCAGCCCGCCAGTAGGACAGGTTGTGGGTGCTGAGGGCGCCCTGCGGGACAGCGGTGCAGTGGGTGAAGAGGGGCAGAGCCCGCTGTGGGGGCATAAAAAGGGGCTGGAGGGGGGGGGGGGCTCACCTTCCTCGCAAAATTGGAGACCTCGTACTGGCAGAAGCCGGCGGCCGCCAGCACAGCCCGGGCGGTGTGGTACATATCAGCCAGGAGGTCCTGGGGGGGCGCGGGCAGAGCCCCCCGCCGTACCCGTGCCTCCAGCACCGTGCCCCGCTCCAGCGTCAGCTGGTAGAGGGCCAGGTGGTCGTCGCACAGCCCCAGCGCCGCCTCCAAGCTCCGTGCCCAAGCCTCCTGGCTCTGCCCCGGCAGCCCGAAGAGGAGGTCGATGGAGGTGCGGCCGGGGAAGAGCCCCCGTGCCGCCTCCACCGCCGCCCGCGCCTCGTCTACGGTGTGCTCCCGGCCCAGCAGCCGCAGCTCGGCGGCGTCCAGCGACTGTGGAAGGAGCACGATGGCAGCGGGGCTGTGTGGGGCCATGGGGGGATAAAGGGGGACAGGAGGGGACAGGGGGGGCCCTCTCACCTGCACGCCGACCGAGAGGCGGTTGACGCCGGCCGCCTTGAAGTTGGCGAGGTGCGCGGGGCTGGCAGAGCTGGGGTTGGCCTCCAGCGTCACCTCGGCTCCAGCGGGGAGGTGGGCGGCCTCCGCAGCAGCCTCCAGCACGGCGGCGATGGTGTGGGGGCTGGCCAGGCTGGGGGTGCCCCCGCCGAAGAAGACGGAGGTGACGCTGCGGGGACAGCGGGGAGGCTGTGGGTGGCTGTGGAGGGGGCACCGGGACCCCCACCCGGAGACCCCGAGCTGGGCACCCACCTCTGCACCTGGCCGAGGCGGAGCAGGGTCCGTGCCTCGCGCACCAGGCAGGCACGCACGGCCGCCTCGTCCACCGCCGGCACCACGTACTTGTTGAAGCTGCAGTAGGAGCAGTGCTTGCGGCAGTAGGGCCACTGCGGGCACAGGGCGAGCGTGGGGGGGGGCAGCCTGGACCCACTCTGGGCACCCCCGTGTTGCCCCCAGGCTCACGGCACGCACGCCGTGGGTGCCCCCGTTGGATGCACGGCGCAGAAACCCCCATGTGCAAGCCCACCAGGTCCCACCTGCAGCTCCCCTCCGTGTGCACCCCCGAGGTCCCACGAGCAGCCCCCCCTTAGGCGTGCAAGCCTCCAGGTGAAACGCGAAGCCCCCCCAAGTGTGCACCCCCCACTTCCCACGTGCAACTCCCCAAATCGCCCTTGTGCGCACCCCCAGGGTCCCCTGTGTGCACCCCCCGCTTCCCAAGTGTGCCCCCCATGGTCCCCACGTGCAAACCTCCCCGTGCGCCCCCCTTGTTCCCAGGTGCCCTTCCCTTGTTCCCGTGTCCCCCCCCCCGTTCCCAGGTCCCCCCCCGGTCTCTCACATGCACGTAGAGCGCGGCTGTCACGGCTCCCCCCGGAGCCCCCGGTTCCGGGCCCGGCCCCGTTCCGGGAGCCGAGGCCCCCCCCGGGTCGCCCCCCCGGGGCCGCCCCGCAGCGAGCGCGGCCGCGGCCGGGCGCCAGCCCCGCAGCGCCATGGGGCAGCGGCACCGCTCCGGGACCGCCCCCGGGCCAGCCCCGGAAAAACGGGGGGGTGCTAGGAGGCAGCAGGGAGCCGCGTTTTGCCCGGTGCCGGTGGGAATTTGCTCGGGGAGCTTCATTTCCCCGGTTCTGAGCCCAATTCGGAGTCTCTCCCCGGCTTGAAGCCGGATTCGGAGTCACTCCGGTGTGTTGCGGGGAGCGATTCGCAGTCAGAGCGCCCGCAGCTTCCATCCTCAGCCTCCTGCCCCGCTTGGGAGGAGAAAGCTCCTGGGCAGGGTGCGGGGGGGCAGCACCCCGAGGTGCACCCACAGCTGGGGGCTGGGTGCCCCAAGGTGGGGCGCGAGGATGCAGCCACGCTGGGGACCAGGGCGATGGGGAGCAGGGAGCGGGGAGCACGGAGCTGGGTGCCTGCAGCACCCCAGCAGGGAGCTTTGGGGCTGGTGTCTGCCCCATCCGGCCCCGCAATCCCACAGCTGCTCCCCGCTGTGTTCCCAGAGGAGGAGGAAGGGGGTTGACGGGGTGAGGTGTTGCGTTTTCTCCATTTTGCTATTAATAGAGATGAAAAACGCCCGTGACAAAGGGGAGTTTCGCAAAGGCCACGGCCGCAGATTCCCGTTCCCAGCCCGGGAGCGGGTGTCTCAGCGGCACTGCTGACGCAACCCTCACCGTGCTGGGAAGAGTCCCCGCTGCTGCTGGGGGTTTCCGAGCTCAGCGCCGGTGCTATAAGACAGGCACGGGCTGTGCCCAAGCCCAGGAGCTTGTGCATGAGCCCAGGCGCTGAGGTTATGCTGCGAGCTGCGGCCGGCGGCCCTTTTCCTCCGGTGAGTATTGGCGGCCAGAGAGCTGCGCTGGGAGAGCAGCTGCCTCGAAAGCCTCTGAGGTGGCTGCAAGACAGGGAAAATGCTCAGGGCAGGGCTCAGGGCTTGTGCTCGCAGAGGGTGCCGCTGCTGGGAGCGGGGATGGGGGTGCTGGGGGTCTGCACCCCCCGTGCTGGCTGTGACCGGCGCTCGACGCGTCTCTTTGCAGGTCTCCTACCCACACAAGCCAGCGTTGATTCGTAATTCTGCTCGTATCAGCAAAGCCCAGGGACCCCAGACTCGGGTGAGTACATGGGGCGCTCCTGGGGACCAGGGGCTGTGCGGAGGGTGAAGGTGTCAAACAGGCACAGGAGAGAGGCCTCTCGTTGAGAGCCGGCCTGTTAACGGGGCCCAGTGCTAACATTCTCCCCCACTTTTCTTTTCAGAAAGCAGGCACCAACCAAGGTCTTTTTGTCCGATTGGTCTGCTTCCATGGGTAGAACCCACAGCCCAGCTTGGAGAGCCGAGACAGAGACCTCGCTGCCACCACACGTCTCTCCCCGCGCACCGTTTCTCGTCACCCTGCAGGGAGAATGGCAGCCTGGAAGGCGAGGAGGCTCGGTCGCTCATCGTCTTTGGGAAGGAAACGGGGGGGAGGCAGGAAAGGAGGCCGGTGAGAGTTGGCAGCGATGGTATCTGCGTCCCAGCTGGGGTGGGACACTTACGGCGGGACGGAGAGGAGCTGCGCTCTTCCACGTCTCGCCTGGGTGTGTCATGGTTGGGAGGAACCAAATAACTCCCGTAAAAACGCTGTCCCGGGTATTCTCTGCTTTGCACTACTGAAGGGACAGGAAGTTTGGTATTTCTGTAAAATGCTTTCTGTCTGTCTCATCCAAAACAATAAAAACATGCAACACCGAATCGATGTTGGAGAAGTTTTATTTGTGGGTCACAAGGCCCCTGCGAGGCCTGGGAACAGGGCTAGCTCTTCCAGCCAGCTGCAGGGAGCTGCTTCCTATGCAAAACCTCTCTCTCTAAAGCCCCTGCCTTTAATTTCAAGTTTATCAGGTGTGTCGTTTCACCAGGCAATATTATATGACCCACGAATCTCAACAGCACCCAAGCAGAGAAGGTACTCACTGTGTGAGGCTGTTGTGACTCAAAATACCAGTAAAAATATCTTACTGACATCTGTTCAGGCCTACAAAGTCCTCTGAAATGGCTGTAGCCAAGCTGCTCGAAGAGACACAAGGTTTTAGAACCTTCACAAGGTCTCACAGTAACAGGACAGGGTTCCAGAAATAAGCATCCCTTCCTCACACCGCAGTATTTCTTTTGGCAGAGAAACAAACCTAACTGGGAAAAAGAGGCTCTCTGTTTTGTTAACACGGGAGTGCCACCGGGCTGACGGCAGGGAGAGAAGCCCTCCAGCGCTGGTCCTGAGGCACAGGTGAAAAGCAGACAGAAAGCTGGCTGAAGCAAGACTGATTTATCTTTTTTTTTTTTTTTTCTTTTTTTTTAAATTCTGCCTTCCTGAGCTCAGAGCTGAAGGTGCTTCTCCATCTGCTCTCTCAACTTGTATTTCTGAACCTGCAAGAAAGCGGAGGTGGAGAGGCTCAGCCAGCAGCCAGCGCAGGAGGCCGTGGCTTCCTCCCTGCCGCAGCCCAACTCTTACCTTGCCCGAGACGGTGAGCGGGTACTGACTGACAAACACGACGTGCCGGGGGATCTTGAAATGGGAGATCTGGGGAGAGAAAGCCAGCAGCTACACAACCACCAGGAACGGCGCGTGCAGCCCATGTGCTGCTCTAACAGCCGCTGAGCGGTGGCCAGCCTGGATCACCGGCTGCTCCCAAACACTGCAGATCGTTTGCAAAACCATTTGCAAATCCCCAGCTGCTGCTGGGTGTGAAGATCTGGCAGGGAACGGAACAACTGGGCATGCAGGAGCGCAAGACTGACCTTCCCCTTGCAGAAAGCCTTAATATCTTCCACGGTGCAGCTCTGCCCGGCTCTCACTCGGATGCAGGCACAGATCTCTTCTCCCATCACTGAATCCTTCACGCCAACCACCTGGGTGGGACAGAAGGACGTGAGAACCCTGCAGACATCCCTGTCCTCCCACCTCTGCTGGGCCCACGAGCCCTCACCCCACCATGGGATGCCTGGGCAGGGGCTGGGTGGCTGTACGTCGGGCGGTTTGGGCTGCTAGAAATCCCAGCAGAGCTTTCTGCGTGCCTTCAAAGCCTCCCGGAAGCATTTCCTTGCCGTTTGGAGGAGGAAATGTGTCACAGCAGGCACCCAGACGCCAGCACCTTCAGAGTGATAGGAATCAGGGCTGAGTCAGACCCGTAGCAGGGGCCCCGTCATCTCTCTTTGCGCTGCCGTTTCCCCAAATGCGAATATGGGGCAATGGGTTTTATGACCAACGAGGAGAGTTGGGAGGCTGCTTCAGCCGCCTGCTTTGGGATCTCCAGAAGAAATGGCAGGCGAGGGATGAAGTAGAACGAAGGGATTTTTTGGAACCCTTCCAATGGCAGCGTTCAGCCCACTGCTGCCTGTGACACCAGCACATCACATCTCTCCATGCAGGGCTTGGGCTTCCCAAGCTCCATCTCTGAATTTTGCTCATGGTATTTCACCAGAGTCCTACTGTCATCCCCTGCCTGGAACCAGGATCTCAAAATCCTAGAGACACGTCAGTCCTTTTGAGTCCAGAGCGGTGACATAAGGCCCTAGAAACTACATAAACAGGGCTGGTTTGCAACCCATCTGCACGGGGCCTGTTCCAGGGAGAGATGCTAGCCTGGCACAAGCACAACACTTACTAAATAACTGGTTTATTTATGGGGAAACTTGTCTGGCACAAAACCTGGAGGAAAACAATCCCAGCAGATTGGGAGCAGCTGCTCAACGTTGCAAATCATTTCTGTCTTGTGAACGGATAAAACTGAGTCTAACTCCTCGTCTCCAGGGACTCGTTGGAGGAGTCTTTTTTTGATTTAGGAGCTCAGAGTAATTAATTTTCAGTAAAAACTGTCCTCTCAGTCTGCTTTCCAAGTAAGAATTTCAGAGGGCGTTATGAAAGCGGACAGGCAGCTTAAAAACTGAAGAATGGCAGTCGTTGCTCCGCAGATGTGAAGCTGTTGCACAAGGAGTTTGCCTGAACTCGTGTGCCCTGCACCACAGAGAGGAAAGACCCAGAAGCTCTGCCTGCCCCTTCCTGTCTGCCAGACAGCATCACGCTAAAGGAGAAGCTGAGAGCAGAGGAAGCAGGCTCAGGCATCTTTGCGCACAGATTTCCCACCACATAAACCACTGCTGCTCCCCCAGTCCCGCTCCCTCTCGCTCACCTGCACCTCCTCCACCTTGGGGTGGGTGTGGAGGAACTGCTCGAGTTCTGCTGGGTAGATGTTCTCTCCGCCCCGAATAATCATGTCCTTGCAGCGGCCAATAATCCTGCAGTAGCCGTGCTCGTCCAGGCAGGCGATGTCCCTGCAACGACACCGCAGTCCTCACCCTACCCCAGAGAGGTGGAACAATGACTGGGACGCCCAGCCAGCCTGCTGTGGGGGCCAGGTCTGATTATCTGGAGGGTAACGGGTGAGAAGCCACCTGAACATGTGGAATAAACTCCTGCAGAGCTCAGAGAGCTCCTGCTACAACCTCCAGTCATTGGCAGCGTCTCCACAAACACCCGGGCTCACTCCCACTGCTGCCGTCCTCGTCCCTGCTGCACAAACCCCAACCCTTCCTCTCTTGGAGGGAGCACCACCACACAAAGCGTGTCCCAGCCTCCAGGAGCAGCTTGCACCGAGGTGCTGGAAGCTCTTCTGAAGTTTCACGGCGAGGGACCAACAGATCAGAGCCCTAAATCTGCTCAGTTTTCCCCACCTTGGAAGTCCCTGCCAAACCCTTCGCATGTGCCTCGATCCCCATCCAGTGCCACCTTGCAGGACAGCCTCAGAAGGGCGGCTTTGCTTGCAGACTCACCCCGTTTTGTACCACTTGTCATCAGAGACCACTTCTCTCGTTCTGTCGGGGTCGTCCCAGTACCCCAGCATGACGCAGTAGCCACGGATCTGAAGCTCCCCAGCAGGTGTTCAGAGGCAGGGGCTTCCCTGTTTCTGGATCCTCGATTTTTGCCTACAGAAGGGGAAGAGAAGCAGGGCCCTCGGGGTGCTGAGCCAGGCGTTGCAGCAGGCACCCCAACGCCAGCACTGGGGCTGCTGCAGACGGAGGACCTGGAGCAGGCGGGGACGGCCCTGTTCACCTCTGTGTGGGGCATGATGTATCCCACCGTCGCGGTTCTTCTGTCAATGCTGTCATCGGGGAACCCCATGAAGGTGACCGGGCTGTTCTCTGTGGTCCCATAGGCAACCTGTGAAGAGGAGAAAAGATGCATCAAGGGGAAAGGGGGCAGCGCAGCTCCAGGCTTGGGAAAGACGAAGCAGTGATGACCACACAGGAGGTGGGGGAGGATGGGAAGAGGACATTTTCCTATGTCCAGTTACTTAGAGTCTGGCAGAGCCTGCCCTCCTCTTTTTTAACCTCTGTATGTCTCCCCGAGCCCTGCCCTCTTTACTCCCTGCCATCTCGTCCAGATACTGAACTTTCCTTTGTGCCCTTGCAGCCATCTGCTGAAGGTGCTGAGCTCACCTTGCCTCTTCTGCAGCTCGGAGCACCTCGGACATCACTTGGGGAAAAGCCTGGAGCCAGCAGCGGGTTCCTGTGGGAAACCACGTGCCCCACCACACGGCTGGTTGCTCCAGATCCTTTTGTGCAGACATCAGCTCTTGTAACCCTCCTACGGGCATCACGAGGCTGCACGGTGCTCAGTGCAGCTGCATTTACAGATCGAAAGCCTCACAGCAGGACAAAAGCTGCTCGCTGCTAACCCTCCCTCAGCGCTAATCCCAGCGGCAGGCACCGAGTCACCTCGGCTGAAGGTCACTTGTTGGGAGGAAAATTCCAGCTCTTTATGCCCAACTCCGTGGCCCGTCGAGCTCAGCAGCTCGGAGGCGATGGGAGGCAGGGAAGAAGTGCTCTGGGCACCTCCAGCTTCTGGAAGCTGCGTGGCAGCAGGGGGATGTGCCGGAGCACTCTTCTGACCTCTCCAACTCACTCTGTCCGTTATCACCAGTGGCTGCTTTGTTGGGAAAGCATGGCTGGGAAAGGGCTGATGCAGGAGGGTTTGCTCCTTTCCCCTCCATGTCTTCAAACTGAAATGAGCAGCTCCAATCCACTGACCTGCAGCAGGGCCCTTGCCCTTAGGGCTCCACGTCACACTGGGGGGAGCACTTGGCTCTTTCTGCTCCAGGCTCACGCTGGGCACAGCCTGCCGTTACGTCTGCTGCTCCTGTTTGACTACACCGGGGTCAGCGTGAATCTGAGCCGATTGGTGGGAGCCTCTTCTTAGCCAGGAATCTGGAGGAGATCGTCTCCAGGGTGCTGCCGGGACCATCTGGAGCAAACTGCTCTGCTAGGAGCCTGGCAGCCCAAGGGGAGCGACTGTAAATAGGCTCCTACCAGACGTAATGATAGCTTAGCAGCCGGGGAGGAAACCTACAGTGTTTAATGCTCAGAAAGGATTTCACTTCCACCCACTAATAGAAGTCCTGTGGCTGGATCAAATGACTGACGAGACACAAATCCAAGATCTCAAACGCTCATTAAAAAGCCCAATGCCTTTGTTTTTCTACTTCACTCTGCTGGATGTATCGGGATATCAGCCCCAGGATCCTGGCCAAACCCTGACTCAATCCCTTCTGCCTCCCCAGATCGCTCCAGCCCTGTAATCAGAGGCAGCGACACGCAGATCCCTCGCAGGGTACTGCTGCGGGTGCCGGGGCACTTTGGGCTCCGCCAGCTGCTGGCGGCGTGCCCTGCACCGCGGGCACAGCCACACGCTGGGGATCCGCGCCT